ATCACCCCTCATCCTTCTCCTCTAGGGCCCTACTCCCTTAACATCGCACTTCATTCACGCGAGAAATCGGCGTAATCTCATAATCTCCGCACTAATGAATCACCCTAGCGCCCCTCCACATGCTAATAGAATCAAACAGAAACAAAGGGAATGATGAAATAGCTTAGGAGCTCAAATATCCAGGCCTCTTCTGAATGCGGCATCTAGTTTTGTAGAGCCGAGTGAGCATCTATGATTGCTAGTAAAGAATCTATATGATAGCACAGCAGGAGAGTTTATGCCCTATGTCTATATATATAAACCAGTAGGAATTCCGCTGATCAGCTATAAGCACGAATCAACAGGATACTTCTTCCAACCGGTCACAGCTATCCAATAGCTATGCTTCTCTAGAGGTTTGCCAAAGCGCACTAGACCCACAATCAGCCACAAGGAAAAACTCGCCGGATCAATCAAGGCACAGTACACGAAACCCCCCCACGCAGCAACCCACATGCAGCAGAAAGGAATGGGAGGCAAAGGAGAGGAAAACCAGGAGATGCACTCGTTATATATATAACATTGTAAGGCAAGCCGGTCGTCCCCGGCAAGGCGGGGGGTTTAGTGGCCGAGCGGTGCACTCATGCAGCACTATTAGGAGGAATACCGTTAGAAGTATGATAAGAAGGAGTAAGCACGGCGAAAGGTCCTCCGATTTTCCTATACTCGGCCAAACATACGGTAGCCACGAGGGTTGATGCAAGAAGATTACCGGTAGCAAGATACATAGAAACGGGCGATAAAGATCATTGCCAGCGGGGAGCCACAAGCCGTTTCTAGGGAATCCTTCCGATTGTCTAATACCCCGAGCGGCGCTGCACGATAATTGCTCGGCAGACTGTCCAGGTATCTCATCTCGCATCATTAATTAACCTCCAAAGGAAAAGATTGTTAGGTATGATATGTAGTATATAATTCTAAAAGGATATTTAACCCCTCCCCTTCTAAACCAATAATACCCCTCTTCCCACCAATACATAAACTTTATCTACTCCCCTACAACCTCCTATAAATCCTCACATCAGCGGGATACCCCGTCCACCATCTATCAAATAAATACCTCCCCCCAACCTTCATAATCCCCAAGTCTCTCCGGCACTTCGCAGCGATCCAAAATGCCATACCGCCTACGTCCTTGCAATCCCAGGAATACCCGAAAGGCCCACAAACCCCTATCTCGGCGCTTCCCCATGCCTGCATTTTTTCACAGCCGAAGTTGCTATTGCATTCTCGCCCCGCACGGCTGTAGAGCTGCGAGATAGCGGAAGCGACATCTGCATATGTGGGGGAGTCCCATGAGGTCTCGCAGTAGAGCTGTTGGGGGTGGGCAGCGGTGGTAACTTCCGGAGGGAAGGGGAAGGTGGATAGAAGGGAGAGGATTTTGGTGCGGGTTTGGTTAAGGGTGGAGGGGTCTGTGGGAGCGACAAGACCAGCGATGGACTGGACTTCTGAGAAGAGGTAAGTGATTGCTGGGTCATGGGTTATTGGAGAAGGGAGCCGGATGAGGGCAGCGCTGAAGACTCCAAGCAAAAGGAGGGAGAAAGTAAGGAGGGTACGTGGGAGCATTTTAGTTTATGCGGAAATAGCTTATGTGCACAGGGTGACGGCAGTGATTGTCAGTTGGAGTTGTGGAGGGGCTTTGGTTGGAAATGGTGGAGCTTTTATAAGGAGGCCAGGGCGAAGTATCGCGGGAGGGAAAGGGAAAGGGAAAATTAGTAAAGAGGGGAGTGGAGAGATGAGAGAAAATCTGGAATCTCAAATTAGAAATCCCTGAATCTGATGGAGGACCACCGGGATCTGAGAAATCGCTAAGAATGATCTTCGTAACTTATGTAAAGCTACACAATTAGCTTCCAATGGCTACCAAAATTTAGTCAAATACTAGATAAGATACTTATATTCCTATTCTATGATATATTCAGGGACGAGTCTTACAGGCTTTGCCACCGCCAGCCAGCAACAAACTCTCCGTGCCGAAAAAAAAATACCACAAGGCCCTGTTTGGCATGGCAGAGAATAAAAAAGCCCAGCTTTTATGAAAATGCTGGTGTTTGGCCGTCCTAAAGCTTTTTTTCTATTAGATAAGTGACTGGCATTTAGGGCATACTAGTAACAGTGTAACACTATTAAAAGATATAGTAGGGTTTAAGTTGTACACAGGAATTCCAAAATATAAAAGCATGATAATAATAATAATATTATTATATAAAAAAAATTTCCCTCTTTCTACTCCATACAAATATCACTTCTACTACAAGCAGCACAGCTATGGTTGCAGAAGGCTAGGGTCTAAACCAACTTTCAAACAAAATGTAATAGTTTTCCTACAATGGCAACTATAACACTTTTTAAAAAACAGATTTGTTTACAATAGGGCATCAAACTCTAGTTAATAAACCCTGTATATTATTACTTGCTCTAGAAATGCAGAACTACTGGCATTGTAGTTGTTTTGAAAAATATCAAGTTTTTCCGGAAGTAAGTAATGAACAATAAAGCAGTAAAACAAAAAATTATGCTATCATATTTGGAAATTGTACAACTTACAAAGATGAAATTACTAGTAGACAAATATGTAGTCTCAATAATATTATGATATTGATATGTATTTATAAATAAAATCATATTGTACATAATGGTTTATAGGATTTAGTAGTTAGGCTTGATGCCCTATTGCATACACATTATTTTTTTTTAAAAAAAAGTTATAGTTGGCATTGCAGGAAAACTGTTACATTTTTCCTCTGAAAGTTTGCCAGTGAGTTTAGCCTTCTGCGACCATATCATCTCCACTACTCCTTTCATTACTTCTCCCTTCTCCACCAGCCCCTTCTCTTACTACCTCTTTTCGACCTGCTTCTTTGCTTATATAATTAAAAGTAAAAGATAATTTTTTTAAAAAAGGTATTCCTAATCTATGGTATTTTAGAGGTTATATAGAATATGATACAAAATTGTATGGAAAACAAAATATTACTCTAAGCCTGATAGGTTTTCATGAAATATGACACCGGAGGAAATCCGAGAATAAAAATTCCGAGAACGAAAATGCCATTGTATTTCCGTGCGATACCTACCAAACACCCCCTGAGAATCCTACCTTAATCCAGGAAAAAATGTCGATAATAAGTGAGAAAAGCTCAGCCCTTCCGAGACGCCAAACAGCGCCTAACAAACCGCCTGAAACTGCACTGGACACTCAAAAAAGCTATCAGGAGCGCATATTATTGTTATGGATACAGACTCCACAGCAGTATTATTATGCAATTACCTATCCACAGTGAAGCTCTTTCCCCCATTTCCGTTTAGAACCCCAATACCCACCACCAGGTAGCAGGCTTTGCGCGTGATTACTAGGGCAGCTAGAGGTATTCGGCTTTCATAGCCACTATCTCTGAGACGCACGTTCGGGACGCCCAATAAACCACGAACCCACTAGAATGGTAGCACAACTCACCCCTTTCTTCCATCCACCTGCCATAGCGTCACCATATCCCAAAACACAGATCCGAAAAAAGTCTTATCCCTTCCGTGACCCAAACTTCAAGATACTTCTAAATTCCTGCGCATGGACGCCATAGCCACCAGAAGACAAGCGGGATATCATGTCACTTCGCAGCTGCCACCTTACGGCATTACCCCTATGGCATCAGAAAGACACCCTAATGCCCATGCGCGGAAGATATATCCAAAAGAATAGGAAAAAAAAACCAAACCCAACATCCAGGGGACGGTACTGAAAGCCTTGACACCAAACTTAATGGACCTGGATAACAATAGATATAAGAATCTAGAAACTCCTTTAGATCTCTAACTCGCAAACTCCAGCGATAAGTAAACCTTCTCTTCCCTTTTGCGAGGATGGCCGCGGGGTATCATATTGAGCAAATTTTTGTAGGACTAAGAATTGCACGATACATCCTCATAGACATATTGAGTGATCCATCCCCTCTTTCCCCCCTTTTATCCCATTTTTACCGCAAGCCCAAACAAAAATAGGTCTCGCTATCTAGTTCACTCATTATCACTCGGCAATATTACCATGGTCCTGTGGAGAACACGGAACTACCCCCCCCCCCGTGCCAGTGTAACGGCGGGGCCCCCGAGGGCAAAAACCCCCCCGCCCCGTAACGAACACTAATTGCTTATCACTATGAATAAAAGTAGTATTGGAGTAAATTAGTAGTATGATATATCCACCCACCGACGCCATACCACTCCCCGTTTCGAATAACCAGCGCCACAGGCTTCCCCCGAGGGTTCTGCTCCCCGATCCAAACCATTTTTTCCAGTCAAAATCGCATCGACAATCATAACCGTGTCCACCAAATACATACCTCCATCGTACAGTACATACACGTTGAGCCGATCACTCCTGCGTTCTTAGACGTCCATATATACTCTCTCAGTTTTTGAAATTCTGTATACTGACCACCCACAGCCTAGTAAGTATTATAATTCATCACAGCTGCCTACCGGTCACCAGAGATGACACTCCCAAATTACTGCCTCCGCCTCTAAAAGCCTTCACAGACCAGATGCACTGTTCATGTTGCATGGATTAGCAGCTGCATCCAGCGGTGAAGTGGCCCATTCACGACCCATTAGCCGGTGTCCCCTCCTGGAGGAAAACCGGCAAAAATCCACTGTACGGTTCAGTGCAGTGCGGCACTAGACTATCAAGGCATCGTGTTGTTTGAATCAACATATAATCACCCTACTATTCCACATCCGGGTGACCGATTGATAGGCAGGAATATCTATTAGATCTAGCGTGGTGCAAGCATAAATATCGCGACCGTGCTTGCACTGTTGCCGGGAGGTCGCTTTTGGTCGTTTCTTCGCTATTCACTCGAGATTTAAGGGGCCCCATACTACCAGATGAAGGTTTAATGCTACAAGTAGCAACCCACGAACCCCCGAAGGATTAAATTATCCGCGCATTGATAGCTACGGTCGAGTACGATTTCGTGATCATTTATTTCAAGTGCTAGTAAAACCATATATCATAAAGGCTTCGGCAACGTCGTAAGAGCAGAACGAAAGACATCCGCACTAACCGCCACAAGTTCATCCCAATCATGCCTCCGCCGGAATCGCACCGTCCACCCCACCAGTCCAGTAGATTACAAGTCCAATCCCCACCACCTTCGCAACACCCCTTCACATTCATCTCTAGACCCACTCTCTACAACCGGTTCCCCATCCATCACACCTATTGGATACTTCCCGACAAGCAACCACTTCAGCCGCTTAAAAGCGCCGAAATATCTTCTGGCAACATTGACCATCCTATTTCTATGCCACTCCTCCCATACTGCATCGAGCCCATCCTCGCCTAACTCCGGCAGTGGAGCCTCCGTTGGCAATACTCGGTATTCGTAATAATACTCAATTGGCGGAACCCCGTCTTTCGATCTATACGTATCCCTTGTAAATGCCATCCTTCGCAATCCTTGCAATGGGGAGAGCATAGTGAGCAGTGTGTCATGGTCAATCTCCCAGTCAACGGCCCAGCTACTTTGTTTTCCAGCACTGAGCCAGAGCTGGGTTAGAGATTTTATCTTGCTGATATAAGTCAATGCAGAGGAGTCGATAGATGGATATTCAAATACCAGGGAGAGGGAGGTTAGGGATGTGAACTTTGCGAGGCTTGGAAGGAGGGTCGTAGTTAGGTATTCATTTGTGTACGGGGAGAGTGCAAGAGACTTTAGTTGAGGGTTTGAAGCAATGAAGGAGACGTCCGGGTCTTTGGCGATAGCGAAGGAGTGGTAATGGAGCGATTGTAGTGTTTTTATTGTGCCGAGGGCAGAGAGGAAGGTACGGACGCGTTCAGTCCCGGTGTCGATGCTGAGCGCCCGGAGGGCAGAGGTGTCGCCGGAAGGGAAGAAAGAGCTCAGGACTGTGTCGTCGGATATGCTTAGCAAACTTAAGCACAAGGTCCGTAGTTTCGGAAAGTTGATGGGTTTCCCAAAACTTTGTTGGTCTCTAAAGTGCCCACGCCAGACTAACCGCTCCAAATTCTGGGATGTAGCTTCTAGAACACTCCTACAAAAATTCGCAGTGCACAGAGATGACGGGGAGTTCAGATCCCGAATGACCTCCAGCTCCAAAGATCTAATACCCCACCTCGCGCCTTCCGATGGGATGGAGATCGGGTCGTCAACTGCTAGAGCAGTTTTGCCCAGCTTCAGAGTCCGGATCGGTGATGCCGGGATAGCCCCGAGCAGATGCTCTGGGGCAACAGTTCTATCCTGCAGACTCAATTCCTCGAGATTCGGCAGGGCACCTGCAATGGCTGATGCAATTTGCACAGTGTAAACACCAAAGTACCTATCCCAAACCTCGCGGAGGTGCTCCGAATCAGGCCGCTCGGTGACATTGTGCGCTTCCGAGAGGTGTCCGGGTTCTGTCGCCACAATAAAGCGGCGGACGCAAGCGCCGATTGAAGGCCGTGGTAGACAACCATTGTTGATGGAGCGCTCCTGGGCTTCTTCGTGCAGGGCCTCTATGAGCGAGTGTTTTCTGGAACTGTAATCCAAAGTTACTGTACAGAATTGGACCGACCTGCCGTTCGTTTGTTAGGACAGCTATACAACTTAGCGGACGACAAACCAGTAAGTGATACCTAGCCAGCTGCCTGCAATCGCGATCCACTAGTGCTAGTGATTTAAGATCCTCGGTCTCCAGGTAGGTCGTTATGTCATTCAACAGCTCGATCGGGAGCCGGAGCAATGGTGTCGCGGATGTAATTGGGAACCCCTCATTCACCCGGTCGAAAAACAAAGGTCTAGTAACCACCCTATTCCTCCCGTACTCATTCTTTGGCTCAGGGGGGATGTGAACAAACAAGCTCTCAATTTCGCCGTACTCCATCTCTCTCGGGCCAGAGGCGCTTCTATCAGTTAGCGAGGGATGAAAAAGATATGGAGGGCAGATCAAAGGAATTAAGGGCGGGGGCAAGGCCCGACACCGGCGCCATATATCAGGCCCGTGTCAGGACAAAAAGATGTCGTTTACAGCCGCCAAGACCGACCCACCCAAGCCTACCAGTGTGCAGTCTGTAGTTTCCAGCGGGGTGGTAAGTTATGATAGATAGCGGGGTGGTAAGTTATGATAGATAGCGGGGTTCAACCATTTTCATTCCACCAGTAGAAACTGCTCTACGCAGCCCATACTTTACTTTTCTTGGAACCCTCGCTCTGTGAGGCTTTCTCATGTCCAAGATCGAAGACCAGTACCGGCATCTCCAGCAGTTCAAGACAAATGAGAACCGTGAGTTGGTGTGGAACCCGTCTAGATATGGGCATCCGATGCACCGTCCTCACCCCCCTTGTTGACACGTTACATCGCGGCAGGGCGAAGGTGAGAGGTGAAGTCCTGGAGATAATGGTGGCGTGGAAGCTGGCCTGGAGAATTTTGCGCAGGGCGAAGAAAACGGAGAAAAGGCAATACCGGTACCGGCATACGGTATGGACAGTATCTCGAGCATAACAGTCCGGTAACTGCCAAAGACCTAAGCTAAACATCCGAGTAAGGCACAGATGAAAAAAAATACTTGTAAAGTTATTAAATTATGGGTGACCCAAGCGCTATTCCACGTACAGTACACTGACGGGTACCGCAGTAACCTCCCACAGGGCTCGAGAACAAGTACTCGAGTACGGTAACTTAGCAGTTACCCAAGTGTGTAAGTATCATACTCGAGTACTTGTGCCAATGGGTCCGGTACTCCCCGCAATGGGTTAGGGTTAAATGCTTATCGCAGAGCCTCATCTCAAGCCGACCGAAACCTTCTCTGCAAAAAATCAAACTTGGACCTCCAGCCCAACCACCCCCCATCTCAGCCAACCATGACAGCGTCAACTATTGCTCCTACTACCCCCCCCATACGGTTCACCACTCACTCCTGCCTCCGACGCCGACTGGTTCTCTCAACTCTAACCGGCGCCCCGCTCCACATCTCGCGAATCCGAGCAACCAGTTTGAAACCCGGTCTAACATCCTACGAATTCTCCCTCCTTCGCCTACTCGACTCCTTAACGAATGGCACATTTATCGAAATCTCTCTAACCGGCACAACGCTACTATACAAGCCCGGGTTAATAACCGGCAACAATGGCCGTGCCCTCGTGCATGTAATACCAGAGAACTGCCCTCGTGGAGTAACCTACTTCCTGGAAGTCCTCGCCTTACTAGCGCCATTCTCAAAAAACGCCTTTTCGGTGACCCTAAAAGGCGGTGTCATTACGTCCGCAACGACAGATGACTACTCGGTTGACACATTCCGCACGGCGGTGCTACCGGTGTATGCTGGCTTTGAGATTACACGGGGCATCGAGGTGAGGACACTAGTACGTTCCTCAGGACCCTTAGGCGCCGGCGAGGTGCATTTCCTGCACGGACACCAAGTCCGGTTGCCCAAGACACTGCACATACAGAACTCCGGGAGAGTAAAGCGGATTCGGGGTGTTTCGTATAGTACCGGTGTTAGCGCGGGAAACAATGCTCGGATGATCGAGGTGGCGCGTGGAGTTCTCAATAGATTCATTGCAGATGTATACGTTTTCTCAGACGTTTCAAAAGCCCAGATCGTCCCCGCGGATTACGGAAAGGAAGGCGCGGCGGAGAAGGCTGCCGGCAATACGAAGGGGAGAGCAGGGGGGAAGACAAAGAAGACCGGTGTTGGTTTTGGCATCTCCTTGGTTGCGGAGACAAGTCTTGGTACTACGTATGTTGCAGATGCATTTGCCGGGCCGGCGGAGGCAGCGGAGGATGTTGGGAAGAGGGCTGCTGTTATGCTGCTTGAAGAGATCAGGGTTGGTGGAGCCGTTGGAAGACATGGGCTCATGAGTGTCCTAATTATGATGATGATGGGGGTTGAAGGGGATGTTGGCCGGGTGGTACTTGGCAAAGAGGCGATTGCAGAGGAGTTCATTGCTGGTGCTAGGGATTTAAAGAAAGTTTTTGGCGGGGAGGTTGCCGTCCGTGATGGAGAAAGTGACTCATTGGTAGTCTCTGTGGTTGGGAGGGGCGTGGGTAATATTGGTAGGAAAGTCGCGTAATTATCCATAGATCGCGTAGTGTATGTATAAAAGTCTGTGTTGTGCTTCCAGAGCTCTCACCTTCCTTATATGACAGAATATCAGCTATCATAGATTGTTCACACCCGTTCCAAGTGCTGGCCCATATACACACCATGAAATCGCTTGAGGGAAGTGCCAGGTGAGGGAAATTGCCGGTTGCCCCAAATCATCTCGAGCTGCAGACCATAAAAAGTTTACACCAGATCTAAACACACTAATTCTGGAAATATCCGAGAACGCTAAGTATTTTTTTAAGTCATAGGAGATAACTCAGAGCAGTTTTAGCATGCAATTGGCATTCGGCAATAAGCATTGATAGCGCATATATACAGAACCCCTCTGCCTCTAGGGAAATATCCAGTACAGTACCCATTACCACAACTAGAGCAAGTAAAATCCAACAGTCCTCTTTGGATCCGCGCCACCGACCCTAGACATTAAACAGGGCGCAGTCTCTCTTGAAACTCGATGTGCAAAAATCCGTACAAGACGTAGCATTGCATCAAGTAATTCAAAGGCTCAGGAAGCCCGATTGATCAGGATCTGCACACAAACAGTATCCACGACATCTATGGATATCCAGAAGATCCCTTTGCCCCTGCGGATGCTGATTGGTTCTGCTTGTAAATTATCACATATGTAACTTATAGAGATCCCAGTGATGATCAATATATTTTCCGCACTTCTGCCGCTGATCCTCCGAAGAGTGTCCCAGGTGAAGAGAAGGTCACTAGGAAAGAGGGAATAGGCTCCGCTAATCTCTAGAATGTGATAATCCTGTATACGTTACACTATCCACATTTACACGGCTGCCTGGTTCCTCGCCTGTAGGGGCTAAACTATACATCACTGAGCACAAAAATGCTGGATAGAGCCGAGGAGATTCTAGAGGGACAGTGCGATGGCAGGAAGCGCTTAGGCTATACCCATCGATTTCTGGAAGCAATAGAGCATGTCAGCCGAGGCGGTGAGATTCAATGTGGCACAACTGTACTTGTGTGATATCCCATGCGCTCACATTAGGCGCAAGCGCAGAGAACCACGAACCTTCCTAATATGGGAATACCAAACTACAAATTCTTAAATAGCGCTAGTACAACACTGAATGGTTTACAGCACCGAAGCAACGCCATCACCTCAGAAAACTCCTCAGAATAATCACGACATAGGAGCCACATGGGAACGAACGGGGGGGCGCCGTTAGTCGATATGGTAAAAGTTTCTCAAGCAGAAGATTGTTGTCCATAGCCGTCGATCCGCGGTACCGGCAGCCGGAATCTGGAAGCCGGAATCCACATGCAGCATATACATAGCGCCAATTCGGGAATTATCCGGGTGATGACGATATTAACCCATAGCCTCAGAGTGGAAACGGGTTAAGGTCGAGAAGGTAGACTAGCGGACGGAAGAGGTCAATAATTCCTACGAATACGACGTAGTTGATTGTGTTGAGAAGTGATAATTGCTCTCGGATGACTTAGATGGATAGGATCCCAGCGTGTGAAAGGTTCCGTTTACCGAGAGGAGGTAGGCCAACAAAATGCTATGCATGTATAGTACTGTACTTCATGGTCAGGGCTTTTGCTTGGGGATATCTCGTCCTATATTTCCCATCGTTATTTACAGTTCTCGTTATCATACGATAGTATAAAAAAATCGTGAACGGGGCGGCAGGCCTTAGCACAGGCATTATGTGTTGCCTCCCAGGCTACAAAGTCGAGTGACAAACAATGACCGCGCGTGCTGCGCACTTTGTTGCCGCAAGAGGCAAGTGCGCTCTCGCCCTGCTCATTAGACCCCACTGAAGCCCCCTGTCTCGGAAGATCGCTACCGGGTAGGAAATATCTCAGCACAAATAACGTTGAATTCACCTCAGGCTCACAACTTGAACCATATATTCTCCAACTCAGTCCCCAATAGTTGGATATTAAACTTGCAACGCTTTAACTTGGCGCCTTGGGAGTAGAACTGTGTAGGTAGCACTTGTGAGCCTGTGAAAGGGGAGGAAGACCCCAAGTTTGCGTATCTTCCCCCCATCCCCCTTCGGATGGCTCCACCAGTCCCTGTAAAAGGCCGCTGCCATTGAGTAAAATAGACTATAATTCCAGTGTATCATACCAGTGAAGCTCGGAGGCTCAATGGTGGAAATCAGGAATGACCGCCCTATCACGCCCAATACCGTATGACTATTAAATCCCGAATAACGGCTCAGAAATGCACAAATCAATGGGACTAAATCGTGGTCTGTATATGAAATACTCAATACCAAAATAGGAGGCTACTACAGACGTCAACCCCGGCAAGTCAGATAATGAGGGAAAAACACAGCTCTTGTTTGTCGTCAATTCTTGGGGTGATGGGGGTCCTGAAGATATTACTATAGCGGGAAGAGGTTACCCCTGACAAGCTAGATAATACGGTTTCACCTTGACACCACTAACCAGCATTCCCAGGCCCTGGGAATTTCTACACCCCCATTCACCACTATGGGGGATCGCCTTGCCCAAGCCAGCGTTTGCAAACAGGCGGTTGTATGATTGGATGCCTACGGAACTAGACGACCCAACCGGCGCCTACAGAACCACCCTCTGTCCCGCCTGACTCAAATTTGACAGAAACCTAAGGACCTCTTCAGCACCTTTCTTTTTAAGTGAGAGGGTGAAACAAAATCCCAATGACTTGATCATCACACTGTGAAATTTGGATTGCATTATCGATCGGGTCTGATAGTGTGGTGGTTAAAGGACCGGTCATAAACAATACCAATTGGAAGGATCCGAGCTCAGGTCCCATCCTGATCGTGGATGCAGCAGGCATCCCATTATATAAAACAAGATCTTTCAAAATGACAGGTCATGTGAGCACAGGTGCCAGGATGTGAGCAATGCACCGGGAAACACAAAAAAAAAAATGTATATATTCCAAGCAACTGGAAAGCAATAATTACTCTTACTAGCAATCCCCCCTCGAGACCTCGAGGGCCTATTCCTAGTATCAAAATATTATTATTATAGAATCATAAAAGCCTTTTCATGAACCCTACTGTCCGAAAACCTAAGCCTCACCTCCACCCTCTTGAAAATTCTATGGGAAAAAAAAAAAACTCTTACCTCCCCCCCCCCTGGATTTCTATAAATACAGCCACACCCCCCACCAAATCCCCTTCTTTCCTCTCCATGGACTTTGCATCACAGTTGCGGAGGAGCTCCGGGACTGTGAACGACAGCCAGAGTTCCTGCCCTGCCGGGAGCGTCCCGGCTCCCACGAGCAGTATCATCTTTACCATTGCCAACAGTGAGCAATAGGTAACACGCCTCGAAAGGAGGGTGCCTGATATGAAGGAGTGATACTTTAGACCATGGTTTGATATTGTGGTTTTTTTTGTAAAGAAGATGGCTATCGTCCGCTCGTGATCGGATGGCTCGTGGGACCCCAGCGTGGTTGACACCTTGACGTGGTGCTGGGGCTTTTAAACTAAGATCAACCATTGTAGACTTATATGATTGGAGGTATATTTTTTTATCTAGGTTTTTTGTGTATCGTATTGTTTGCTTGTCAGAGTGTCAATTAGAAGTCGTCAGAAGTGTTCGGCAGCATGGGCGGACTTGGTATTATAATATATCACGGGGGCTTGTAACCGGTAGATAACTCCATATCTATGTTTCATCAAATTTACAGACATTTTCTGGTGCAGGCCGACGCACGGACGGAATTCCTACCAAAAACTCAAGGAATATGACGAAAGGCTGTCGGTGCCATCAGGTGTCCAAGAAGCCCGCAGACTTTGGAAAATACCGGGACTGAAATGCCCAAGTCCATCCATCTCACTTGATCCGCACCGATTTTCAGGCTGCTCGTTGGCTGACTGAACCCCCTGCGATCACTAACGGGGCAGGTTCTGCGCCATACACACATACACACACACATAGGGGCTACACTAGGAGCGACCGGTGCGGTAGCAGAAAGAGAGGGAAAGGACTGCCTGCCTCCTATAACTTGGGAACAAGTATCATAATTTATCACTCGTGTGATTGCCCCCCCTGTCAATGGTGTTGCTGTGTGACTTACCGGCTACACGTGACGAATAGACTCAAAGATTGGACACAGCTCCCCCCAGGAGACTGCAATAATTAGGAAATCCCCCTGGCACAACATGCATCACACCCACCCCACGCAGCGTAGACTCCGTGTCCCAAAGTCCGGGGGCTCCACATCAGGAAGATAGGACCCCCACCAACTCCTTCCCTGCAAACAGCCCCCAAAAAAATTAACAATTTTCGTACTAATACTGCGGTCTTAGTCACACCTCTGCTTAAGTGTGGACCCCCTGTTGATAGCAGCGGCGAAAATTTTGTAAATCCGATTCCTGAAGACACATTTGCTCATGATGCTCAGTGTGGGGGATCCGCAGACCATTTCTCCCTCGGAGAATAGCTATTACCGATCCTATAAACTCCCAGCTTTCCATATCTCTGGTGAAATATTCAGCTGCCCGGGTGCAAGTTAATGTTCCTCTGTAGGGAGGCGCGGCAAGTTAATGTCTTACATCCTCTTCTGCTTTTCGCCAAAAGATAATACCGCCATGATAATGTATGGTCAGTTTAATGTAGGTGAATTCTGCAGCTATAACTGCAGCAGGGGATTCATGCATGCGAGGGAGGGGAGGGGGGGAGAGGTTCTCCAGTAGCATTCGTCAAGAGGCGGGGCGGCTTGAGGATCCGTTCCAAGTCAGCCAGGATTTCATATGATACTCGAGTACCTAATTGTTCGGGGATCAGAAACATCCTGGGTTGGATGTTGTGGGAATAAACAGAAAGTATCATACTCGCCAAAATAGAAATCTGCCCCCGACGGAGTCCGACCTTTGCTTGCGCACAATCGACCACTATTCTACTCCTTGCTTGAAGGAATCATACATACATCTTACTACCTTAAGACCCCAAGACCTCTAGGGGACGGACGTTTCCGGAGACATTCGATTTTTAAACGGTAGCCACCAACGCCATACTCCCACAACTGTCTAATACTCTATCCAGATTGGCATTTTTTGAAAAAAATTTAAAAAAAATATACAGCATCGGGACTGCTGTGCATGCCAGCCTGAAAATATCCTAGCTGGACTAGCCAGATGAGGGAGGTTGAAAGATTGGATGGAAGGCTGGGGCGGTGACAGAGGGAGGAATGGACAGATAGTCATTTTTTCAAAAAAAAAAAAGATCCCCTAAGGAGGTAAGTGAAACGGCAGTGGAAGTATAGAGGATGGACTAAATGGCTTTCCTCTCGAACAAATATCTCCAATGGTATAGCGTACACCTTTTATTTCTCAGTGCTTCTCTCGCAGCCACCCCCGGATACCCCGGGAATCCCGGAAGATTACGAGTCCAATGTTGGACGAGACGGGCAGCCTGGTCATTCCTCCCTGTTCCCTACGAGGGTCCTCTTGCCAAACTTTTTTCTTTTTTCCTCTGTAACTGAGGGGTAAACTTGGCTCCTAGATGGCCGCGCATCAATTGGGTTCTGGTGCCGGCAGTGCAACGGATACCTAGGCCCTCTTCCTCTCACCCCTCTAGCCCCCCACCCCTATAATCCACGAAACTCCACTTCGCCCCCCAAGTTACATCTTGCACTCCCCAGCCGAGCGAGCAAAACAAAATAGACCCTTAGCATGACACTTATCTTACATCTTTAAGCTTCGCCCAAACAGGAAGAAAGCTTACTAATAGCGAATTAAAGAAGTGGAATGCGCTGACTCCCCCTCAGCAACCTTACAGTATCGTACCACAAGAGAGGGCGAGTGAGATGAAATGATGCCTGAAAAACTGTCTGATCTGTGAATAATTCCACCGCCTCTCGGGAACTGAGCAGAACACTATTGTTGCTACCTTACAGCATGAACATCCCATAGAAGGTTAAGGATTGGCCCAGCCCCATGAAAGTTTAGATCGGGGATCCTGGAGGGTAATGCTCAGCCTCCGTGACCCAGCAAATGCCGCATCAATCTCCCCCATGATACCATGTGTTGTCCAGCTTCACGCCCTCACCAGTTCCCTTGAACCTACTGGATTATCTCCCGTTATCGCTCCCGTTCTCCACATAGCCTCATATCACATGATACCCTCGAAGGCAAGTAAATTCCCACAGTTCTCGAGATATTTCTAGCCCGTTCTCCAGGCAGCGCCTTTCACCTCACCTCACGCGGGATGTTCATCGTGATCGCCATTCACCGACCAACCACCTCCCCAGTTCCCACGCCTTCACCTTGTTGCGCAAGCAGTAACGCTCGCTACCCAGTCTATCGGAGGGAGCCCAAGCACTGCCCAGAGCTAAATCCCACCTGTCATCCCCTCGGTCCCCCATCCGTCTGTCCATCCCAGACCTAACTATTTTACTCGAGTACAGCACAAAATCCGGCTACCCATCCACTGGCGGCCCCCACAATCAGAATTCCCCTGTCGTGTTATACAAAATTACCTGGCGACCCACGCCCTACGCGGGAATACCCCCGCCGAGACAACCCGCCGAAGAGCATAGCCTCCATTCCTATACCGTATGATACCAACCAATCAACCAACAGACAAGCCTCACTTGTCCTAAACTCAATTCCTTACTGTAGTCTAGGACCCGTCCAACCACACTCTCCCACCTACTCGAGTACCGGTATCCGTCCCTACCGTAGTTGAGTCCCCGAGTGCTCTACCTTCGCCACTTTGCGTCATATATGGTGGTAGTGGTATAAACGAGGGTTGTGCTAGACGGTTATCCACCAGGGCGCATCGTACTGGATTCGCGGCGCATCCACTACAGTGCCGTCCAGACACGCGAAAGTGTGTACTAATACAGTACGGTACTCGAGTATAAGGCTCTAACGGCAGTGTGGGACAAGCTCGTAAGTGCCGTACCATATGCAATGAGGGAAAAGGGGGAGCGGGGGGGGGGGGCTAGGGATCGCGGGCTAGACACGGAGGTTTTCCGTCCCGTTAGGCAGCGTGGGTGCCTGTGCCAGGTTCACCGTTGACATTATGATACACTGCTACCGTATCATACACGTGCAACAAGGACCGGATCATACCCCTATCCACCGCATGCCGCGTGCCAAATGGTCACGTTCGAGAAAATAGCGAGATCCGGGAAAGTGTCACCATCCCTCTTGGTAAATAAATTGCTAGAGTTCTCAAACCGAGATCTTATTCGTCCGATCTCGTGGGCGCAGCCACGGATGGGGTTCCGTACGATTCTGTACGTAGAAACTTGAACGATTAAAAACGTGTTGGAATCGTATGCAGTCAAAAATTCCCTTCTCTAGAAAGTGGGCGACGCGCTTCACATAGCAACAGCACAGCCCCTCTTCCATCCTCCGAAACGGAGAAAAAAAGGGAAAATTTGTCAGGCCCTTCCGAGTGAGGAAATCCCAACGACATACGGTAGTAAAAGGGTCGATTATTCGGGTTTCTACGGTAAATCGGTATATTCGCACTAGCACTGTACAACACCGATTACCAGTAGTACGGGATGAAGTTAGGGGGGGGGAACGAGACGGGTTGTGGAATTGATATCCAAAATGAAAATCCAACACATGTATCCTTCTCGTTCGGTGCTTTTCGATTAGATAGATGGCTAGTTAGGGATAGAGAGGGAAAACACTTACACCCCAATTACGCGAGAATTGAATAAAATAAACAAAAGAACCACAGATAAACAAAAAAAAACCTGGAGCTTAAAGTAAAGAAGAAAAATGTATATATGTTATACCCATAGTTACAGGATACAGCAATTGGCATAAATACACGCGCCCGCACTCCGCACCAACGAACCCCAAAGAAAAATAAAGCAAAGCCATGTATACTTACTCCCCCTATCCCTCCCTCTGCTGTATCGCAGCTTCTAGTCTATAGACAGCCCTACCCCTCCCCCCTTTGCCCATCCCTCTACACTACAACCCAGCTCCTCTATGACCACTACACTACTACCACACAACGGAAATCACCGCTTGTTAGATCCAAACTCCTCCACAATCCATTGACAAAACGCTTCCCACTTCCTATTCCACTCCGCCAGTGCACAGCTCTTTTCCCAGGCATTCATGCACGAGTGCTCAAGGCTCCATTCCGCCAATACGCGCCAGCCGTGGAGAGACATGGAGTCGAAGCCAGACATTACTTGGTAAAAATCGTGCGAGAGTGTTGAGCTATCCTGTGTTAACACAGTAACTACTAGGGGGGGTATGGGGGAGTGTGATACCTAAAATAAGCGGGGTTATCGCTAGATATAGTGCATGGTACGCCATTTGTGAGTAGTATTGGCAGGGAATGCCCCTGAATAGAAGGACAAAGGTGGAGGATTTCATTCGAGATTGGGCAGAGTTCTAGTGCTATACCACGTTCCCGGCAGATCTTCATGAGTTCTGGGTGCCGTGCCAACCCGTAGCCATGGCCGATGCGCTTCGACCCAAGGAGAATCGCATCAAAGAGGTTTTCGTCCGTGGACTCACCGTGCCTCAGCGTCTCCCCGGCATGGAATAAGAAGGGGATATCTAAGCCCGCGGCATCGCATGTTCGGCGAAACTCTAGCAATTCGTTCAAGTAGTGCCTTATTGGATTCCCACGGTCTTCACATCCGACCATATCAAAACCTATAGATGATGAATGTCAGCCCCACCCACCACTATCACACGGCCCAAAGACAGAGGTAAGAAGAAAAACCGAAACGAACCGCAAATCAAATCTGGAAACTCTCGCTTCAGGGCCATGCAGTCATCAAGACACCACTTCATGTCCTTTTTCTCGATAGAGCGAGGAGCGCAGTAAATTACCTTGAATCCACGGAAATCCTCCTTCCTCCCATTCTCCGCGAGCTGCTTCATCTTGCTGGCAATTTCCTCCCGAATTATAGTCATCCAGGCAAAGTGGTCCAATTTCCCTAACCCATTGTCTGTCATGATGAACTTGTCGAAGAAATTCGGCCGAACCTCGGCGTACATAACATTGTCATCCAGGAAGCTTTGTATGGCTTCCCCGACATACCGGCGAAAGGCGGACTCATAGCCGAATAGCCCCTTCAGCATCTGTGTACTCTGATTGAATCGGTTCCATATCCTGCGAAAAGGGAGGAAAAAGATCAAAGAATCAGTTTCTACAACTCATCGCCTAACCCTATAGTAAACATACCCATCTGTAGTCTGATGAATATCATGTGCCTCCTGTTCCCTAATAATCATTTTGTTCGCCAACCAAGACTCCGGGCCTTCCCCACCGAGCATTTGCGTGGGGAACCTCTCCAGAAAGTCCGGATACGGCGCCCACCCCAATGGCGAGTACCCCCGATCGAAAACGTCCGACCTAGGGGTATCAGGCGACAGGACTGCAAACGATATAGCCGCGCAGGCGAAATCCTCTGGCCGCACCAAGGCGACACTGCTGCGAATAAACATACTCTTCATCCCACGCGCCTGCCTAATCAAGAACGAAGGGTGCAGGCATGTGTTGAAATGGCAATGCAAATGAGCCCCCTTTGGCATCATCTTAGAAATCTCCATCAGCTGGCTGCGATTGATATTTTCCAGGTTCCCCAAGAAATGCTCGCTGGAGCCGCCGCCGTTAGAGGGGGAGACGCCGAGATGTGCTCGCTCATGCTGCCGGATCCGCTTCACAACTTGGTCCGCTGAGCGCTCGACTTTGGTAGCTCTAGCAATGGCTTGGGTGTCGAAGGCTAGACCACGATCTTGGGCTAGAAGTTTCTCGCGAGTCCGTTCATACTCCTCTAGCGAGCACGTGCTTGGCGACAAATTCTCCGTCGCTGTTGTCGCTGATGTCGTGGTTGCCGCGGATACAGCCTCCTTCTTTGTCGTCGAGGCTGTCGGGGTTGCTGGAGGTTCTGGACGCGTGGATGATGAAGTGGTCATTTTGCTCTTTTTAATGGACGTAGATGTAGCAGTTATTCCGATAATCAAATTCCTTAGATTCTTCCACCCCTTTGAGTTCATGGCATTCATCCAAGGAATTGGGGGGTGGGAGGAAGGGGGAGGGAAGCGATTTATGAGCTGTGGAAATCCCTAGTGAGATGAGAAAAGGAGGTTCTCCTACCGTTGTATCAGGTTTAGAGTTTAACGGCGGCTTGGGGGAAGGAGTACGGTACTGTAGGAAAAAAGAAAGAGAAAGGAAAAAGGAAAGTCTGGGAACGGTCCATCGCCGCTGAACCGCTATTGCCTGGCAGCCGAGAACTGTGTGGCACAAGGTTTTTTTTATTTTTTTTTATTTCTTTTTCAGCGGCTGCGCCATCAATTCGTAAAATGCCGGACCGTTTCCCCCTATTCCCGGTTTGACTGTGCTGCTGCTGCTGCTTTGTCGTGGAGGCCGGTGTGGAGAACATGTTCACAGACAGCTGAGGACGTAAATACTGGCATGCCGGTAGCATGCCGTAGGCGTCCGGTTTGCTATGGCCTTGCTATAGTTAGTGAGACATTGCCATAATACTTGTATCAGCGATAGCAATGCTCGTCCTGTTGAAGGGGGGGGGGGCGGTCACTGAGCCACATGAAGGCATGATTGCAAGTGGCAACCGGGTCAGTCCAAGTGATCCACTCGCCACAAGACCACTATACGCACAGTACTTGTACCGCACCACGCGTTAACCCCGGGTCAATCGCAAAACGACAGCTGGACGGAGTCGTGGGGGGAGAGAGTCGTGCCTCCACTCAGTCTGGCAGCAGCCGGGATCACCCCGGCTGACAGATGGAAGACTACCCGTATCATGCCGGTGCTGTAGAGCACAGGGTAGGAGAAAGGAAGATCAGGAGAGCCCACAACTGGTGATCCATACTTATATACTCAAGGCGCAGTAGGGCTCCTGAACAAAACAAAGGAAAAGGGCATTATCGAGAAGGACGAGAAACCCACATGGCACGGCATGATATGGGACACCCATTCGTTCACGGGGGACATTGGTAGCGAAAAGGAGGTACTGTATCTGGCCGTGGAAACCGGATTGGTTTTCAAGGCTGTCATCTTCCAGAAGGGCTCGCGAGGAGCCTCTGAGCCAGGATGTCACCTTTCGGTACCTCGCGCAGCAAAGAATGCTGGGCACACCCGTTCGCGATTCAAGCGTGATATGGTATCAGGAGTGGAAATCCATATGAGTACACTAGTATCAAAGTGACCCATTCACGCGGTAATTGGGACTCTTCCATTTCACATCCCGAGCCAAATCCCAGCGATCGGGTTGGTCCAGAACCGCATATGCCTCACATCCAGAGTCTGCACTGGTGCTCGAGTACAAGTTCCCACGGAGGTATTTTCGGGCAGGTCAGGTTAATTCCATAAATTCGTAGGAAAAAACCAACTACAAGTCATGGGATTATTTTGCAGGCTAACCTGGATTAACCGTTCATTAACTTTCTATCGGATAGAAGTATCCGGCGAGATGTTTTCATAAAAGATAGGTATCATTTTGTAGGTTAACCCAAACTGTCTGTTCATTGGCCTTCGATCGGGTATCATAATTTACCTCTACCAGTATCATACCCCTAACTCTCGAAGTAAGGTGAAGGCCGAATTAAGGCCAAAGTGCGAACGAAGACGTCCAGTTAGGCAGCCCTAAGAGTCTACAAGCACAAGTATCATAACTCTCCCTAACAATATAAACCCGAGAAATAAGGCCTGCGATAGTCCACACAGCTACTTGTACGGTACTCCGGCGCCGGCACTGCGCATGGACCTAGAGACCTGGCACCAGCCCAGCACGGTAGTGGTATTGCACCAACTCTTCTTCCTTCTCCCTTGGGAATCGAGCACTCGAGCGCTCTCCTCCCCCGCATGCCGCAGGAATGGTCGTGTTTCTGCGAATCCCAGCCCTTGTCCCACAACCCTTTTCCCGTTTCCACATCAATGGCTAATCCGATTGGCTTTCTCTACGCCGCAATCCCCCTCTCTCTCCACGATGACCCGCTTCGTCGAGCTAAGCGGGAAAGGGAAGGAGAAAGAAAAAGAAAAAGAAAAAAAAGCTAAGATATCCGGGCTTCCGGTCTGATAACTACACCGAGAGTTTACCCGTCAAGATAGAAACTTGCGGACTCGGCAGAGTAATTCTCAGAACTGGATCGACACTACCATGCTCGAAGCACGGTAATCAGAGGTTTGAGTGACTGGCCGTGCAGCGCTGCCAGCACGCAAGATAGGCAGCAGCCGAGCCCAAAACAGCAACCTAAACACGAAAAGAAAGAAAAAAAAAAAAAAAAAAAGGGAAAGAGCCGCCGTGTTCATGTGTGTGCGAATACGGTACCGACACTGTACTCGTACGAACACCAATCCGACAAATTAAAAAAATGGGAGAAAAAAAAATGAGAACCTGGAGTTCCGTGCTTCACGGCACTGGAGCGCAGGAAGGGTACAAGTAGGAATATTATCTTGCCTTTCCCCATCCCACAATAGTCTTTTTTCTCCCCAACACAGTTCTGCATTACACTTCCCCACGCAGGCACCTTCGAGAAAACATACAGACGCCCTGAGATTACTGTGTTTTGCCTGTCTCCAGTTCTATCCGCCCGACTGCGTGCTGCGCCTACCGGTGCCTCCATTCCGTGGGGAACAAGGGCAGGGAAAGGTCCAAAATGGGCTGGCTGCACTTCCCCAACACTCGTGAAGAATGGAGACTGGACATAGTCTCCCTATTGGCGGTGGTCGGAGAATCCGCCATGTCCGCGCACTCTCAGCCACTCACCGCCTCAATCTTGTGCCTACTACCACGAATCCTCCCCGCACCTCAGGCACTCCTGAAACCCTCCCGCCCAAGCCGCTTACCGCCAACCCATGCTATAATTGCGGGCGTACACTCTGGACTTCGTGTCGATGAGCTGAACCACTTTGCCGGCCACATCTCCAACATCAACCTACCCAAATTCGCGATCCGGGTGATAAGAATAAAGCACAACTCGAGTCTGCTAGTATCTGGACCTGGGTGCAGGAACCTGCTTCCGGAGAAGGAGTATCCGCACCGAGTATTCCGTACGCCGAAGGGGGTCATCCACGCGAGGGCCTTCTCCCCTCTGGCCTGTTTGACGGTCGCATCGAGTTTGCTGTCCGCGGGACTCATCATCTGGGCTTGTTTTCTGAGGGACGGGGTTGCCTGTGTTGCTATCGCGCTCATCTCGCTGACGTCTACGGTCATCGGACTTTCGAATTTCTGGCACCCAAGCCTGATTTCCCGAAAGCAGCGCACCCTAGTGCCGCCTGGGGATCTGGTAATACGTACGCGGCAGGGGGCGTTCGTAATTATAAAATGCAGGGAAGAGGTGGCGCGGGAGCTGTACACTAGCACGGAGGAATGCAAGTATGTTGTCGGAGACCAAGTGTATCGGGGGCTCGTGGGCGTGGGGACCTTCCTGCTCATGTGTGGGGTGGTGCTGATGGGGAACTGCACATGGGTAATGCAGGCTGCGCTGGGGGTGTCGTATATCCTGCTCAACGGGCTGTACCAGGTTGCCGCCCTCCTCCCAACTTCCTGGCACTGGGACTTTTCGAGGTACACCTGGGAGGAGATCAAGGACGAGTCCTCGCAGCAGGAGACGTACACCCAGGCATTGTGGCAAGCGATCAAAGCATCTGGAAACACCGAATGGGTTCGATTGACGAATGCTGCGCCTGCCTCGGGCGCGTGGAATACGTGGCTGGAAGAGGCGCAGGATCACATCAATGCTGGCTGCACCGGAAATTGGGATCCACAAGATGCTCTGAGCAAGTTGCTCAGGCTTGAAGCCACGGAAGATGGAATCGTTCTCGGACCCGCGAGGGATATGCCAGTGCCGGTATCGGGGTTCGGCGGCGGCAGGGTTTTCTCGGATTATGGTCCCACTTCGGGTTTCGGCCCTTTGCAGAACGTGCCGAGGGGGTTTGGACCGAATGGGGCTGTGGAAGCAAGTGAAGGGCGGACCAACTACCTCTAGAGGCTGGATTTGAGACTCACTGAGGCATATATGTTTTTCTCTCGTTTTTTACACTCGTCTATATATTAGGTGGGGAGAGGAGCGTTTTTCATCTCGGGAACTCTATTGCGAGGCATAAGGAATGAATTTACGGGAAACGTTTAAAATGGGTTCTGGGTGGCGCTTATCTATTCCCTCTCTGATTCTTTTTTTTCTCTTTCTCCTTTTTGAAAAGATCATGAGCATTATACCAGCATTCTTGTACATAGAGCCATATAGCATTTTAGCGGTGCGGAGATAACAGTACCACCAGGTAAACTCTGCTTATATCATACCATCATCTCTTGGGCGGATAGCGATTTACCGGTATAGTGTCTTGTACGAGTACTGTGCCCGAGTTCTAGTACTACAAGTACCGGTGGTACGGTATGAGTATCCGTGGAACCCTCTCATACCAAAGTCTCCTGGGCATTATTCGAGCAACAGGAGGGGGGTTGATCGGCGGCCGGATCAATGCTTACACCACCCGAACCAGGCCGCTATGCGAAGCCTTTTCTCTCGAAACCTTCTATTTATGGATACCCAGTGCTTCTTGGCATCAGCAGGCACTTTTGTCCACGGGTGCCGGTACCTGTACCCGTACCATAAAATCTCGAGGAATCCACTGCTTGTACTGTACCTCCGTCAGCCTCCAGGGAAGGATAAGCTTTCCCCTGATATAGTAAAAGCTTGGCCGGCTAGGTGTGTTGGATCTTGTTAATCGGTATTCGCCATCCTGTTAATCTGTCAAGCTAAACCTATGGCGGGATGACGGGCGGCAGGGGAGATAGGTGGATTTCACGAGATTATGGTATCGTAGTCTACTAGAGTAGTTGGCGATTCGCTCCCCTGCCCGTCCGTCACATAAACTTACTTAATTTGGTCTCCTGTCTTTGGTCTTTTTTTTTTTTTTTTTTCCGGTCCCCTCTTTCCTTTCCGCAACGGACGAGCAAATGGGCAGAGTCGTACCAATTGCCACCCAGCCATCGTCGATTGAACAAGCCGTTCGCGAGGCTTTAGCGCGCAGTTCCAGTGTCGGCAGGCAATTCCTCCCCCTCTTCCTTCCCACACATTACACCGTGCTGATAACTCTGTAAGTGGAGTACCATAGTTATGGCACAAATCGAACTACGCCTGTTGGTGCCAAAAGTGCCGCTTGCCGCCCCTCTGCGTTTCTTGTATCTGCCACCCTGTTTTGTCCGTGCTGGTATACAGTGCATGTAAATAGAATAGAGTAGAGTTGAAAGCGAACCGCTTGCACTGCACAGTACTCGCACTCCAGGTTTCTGCAGGCAAGGGAGGATGAAGGACAGCTCATAACCCGATCCCGGCAATATCATACGAAACTCCAGATAAAGTTCGAGCCTCATCCACTTGCTGGCGCCATATATAAGAGAGTGCTCGACCACAGCAATACCACGAATGGAAATTGTCATTGTTATTATTATCGCCATCATCACCATCGTCACTGCTCCCCCGCAAAGGTCTGCTTTTTCAGCAGCGGCATCCGATTTAGGAAAGAATCACGAGTTCATCGCCCCTCCTCTTTCACAGGAGCGGGGGAAGCGGCCGTCGTTCGCATGTTACAGTCAATACTTCGCTTTCGCCCGCTAATAGGCAGACCCCTGCCGCTGCGAAAACTCGCTGTTCGCAGCTGCGTACGGAATTATGGTCGGTACCGGTGGCTGCGGTATAATCCCCTAGCACAGCCGGATTCGATACGGCTGGTCGAGTTACAACCGGGAGCTCCGGAGGATGAAATCCGGGTTGAAATCCAGCACGCGAGGCTGTCGGAAGCGCCGGAGTATGAGACGCTGTCATACGAATGGGCCGGGAACCGAAAGGAAGCTAAGGTGAGGTGCGGGAGAGGAGAGGAAATACCCGTCCCGCTCAACTTGAAGGCAGCGTTGAAGAGACTGAGAGATAGAGACCGGCCGAGGAGGATATGGATCGACGCAATTTGCATCAATCAGGACGATTTGAAGGAGAGGGGAGATCAGGTTTCAGTCATGACCCAGATATATCAAAATGCCCAGGGCGCCTTGATTTGGATTAGGGAGCAGAAGCCCGACACCGTCGAGGCGTTCAAGATGATACCGAAGCTGGCCGAGAGCTGGTATTCCCAGGGGCCCCAGGACGACCCATCAACCGAGCCCGCAGTCGAAGTTGAAGATGAGCACGCGGACGAGCTCGACAACCCGACTATAGCGAACGCGATCCGTGACACTTTCACAAGGTCGTACTTTACGAGAACCTGGATCATCCAGGAAATTCTGGTATCCAAGAAAGCCACAATAGTCTGCGGCAGCCACCAGGTAGACTGGGTCCTCTTCCACCGGGCAGCAAACTACCTCGTCCAGCGCGAATTCCGCCTCGATAGGGAGCCCGCAGGCCGAACACTATTCCTGGTGGCACTGATCCGCCGTAATGAGAAGCGGTACAAAGAGGCACAACTCAACCTCCGCACACTGCTCCGACACTTCCGGTACTCCCAAGCTACCGACATCCGCGACAAGGTGTACGCCATGCTGGGAATCGCCTCCCCGGTCGGTCGCTCGGGCACTGAGCACTGCGTGAAACAGCTGCAAGCAGACTACAGAAAGGCTGTAGAAGACGTCTACCGCGAAGCGGCCGCATACATAATGACGGACGAACAGGACCTGCGCCTCCTTGCAAACGAGTACTCCCCATGTTCCCGCCAGCTAACGAAGATGCCAACATGGGTACCGGATTGGTCAATAACGTCAAAGCGCCTGCTCCCCATGGCGCGGAAGAGCAACACCCTCAGCTCCCTCATCAAAGCCGATATCAGCACCCGTGCAGACTCACTCTTCGTGAACGGATTCAAGTTCGACACGGTGACGTATGCGACGCCGATCGTGACGCCGGAGAATGAAGCGGCCATCCTGGGGACGCTGACTTCGCTCGTCAGAAGCAAGAACCAGTATCCCTACAACAACCAATCCCTCACCGAGGCCCTCTGTCGCACGCTCATTGCGGATAATGCCAACTTCCGGCCCGCGCTAGATCATGAGGAGCGATATTTTTTCCACCTACTCAGACATCGCATGAAAACTATCGATGTGCCGATCATCCAAGAGGACCTTATGACTGATCTGCGGTATCAGACCGTCAGTCATCAGCTTAGGCATAACGAACCGTATAGGGAGGAACTATCCAGGAATCTGCACGGGAGGAGCTTCTTCATGACTGCCCGCGGTTTTATGGGTCTCGGACCGAAGGCGCGAAGAGCTGTGCTTGTTGGCGATCGGATTTGCATTTTGGGGGGTGGATATACGCCGCTGATCCTCAGAGAGGGGAGTAACTTTGAATTCAAGGAGCACAAGAACCTCAAAGCCTGGTGGAAGGGCAAGTACGACTGGGGGGTGCAATTTATGCAGAAGAAACGGGAAGGAAAGGAGGGAAAGGAGGGAGAGGAGGGAGAGGAGGGAGAGGAGGGAGAGATGCAAGACAGGAAATGGTATACGCTCATTGGAGAAAGCTACGTGCACGGGATTATGGAAGGGGAGTGCCTGAGGAGCAAGATTGCGCCGGAGAAGATTGAAAGGATTGAGATTCGGTGATTGGGTTTCTCTATTTTTACACTACCACTAAACTTTGGAGCGATGTTTATGATTCGGGGGGTTGTAATGGGATATCTGGATAGATTTTACAATTTTTCTTTTCTTTTTTTTTCTTTCACAGATGTCATACATAACTTACAGGAATCTGGGAAGTGCACCATCGCAGTAATATCAACCCTTTAGCGCAATCAATATAATATGATATCACACCCTTAACCCAAAGCCGATCCCCGAACCAAGATTACAAGCTCCCCCTCCCGCCCGGTACTTCCCGTTCTCGGTACCCCTGCCGGGGCGCGGCGCTGGCTTAGGCTGCTTGTAGCGGTGGCATGAGATCCGGATGTGATATATGCACCCCATCACGACATACCAAACTTCTGTCCAGCCGATCAATTGCCTATCGGAGCAGCTGGTAGCAACCACCCGAGTGATCGTTTGTGAATCCAGTGGGGAAAAAAAAGTACTACTGCGATGCTAGGAGTTTGAAGCGCAGGAACGTGGTTGCCGTCGTTGTAGTACACCCCGGTAGGATAAACCGCCCCTGAGCGTTCGTTATGGTCCGCGCATGCTACCTCGCGGGATTTGCTTTTCCTGACCGCACACGTCACGCCGATCCTGGCCAAATTTTTTTACAGAGGGAACGGGTGATTCCCCGCCAGTCGGAAAAAGGGGTAAAAATTAAAATAAATAAAAAAGAGATCAATCCGTCGTGGGTGGTGGGTGGGTGGTGCCGTAAAATGTGTCGACATGGCGAGGAAGGAGAAAGTAAGCTCTAGGAATGTGGACGTCCATCGACGGGTAAGGGATATTCTGCGTTTTTTTTTTTCGGCAGCTACGGTTCTTGAAAAATTCCGTACTTCCGACAATGCATATCGCACTGCCAGTGGGCTTCACGAGGTGGGGAAGTACAGTACTGTATGATACGCCCACTGCGTTGTTGAGATAATACGCGAGTGATTTTGTATGATGAAGGTGGACAAAGCAAGAACACAGCGCGGGAGAGGTACTCGTGCCAAGGTTGTGGCTGGCCGCCACAACCCCCGCACGTTCGCAAGCTCACAACCGGGGGCACTCTAAAGAGTGCCTGACAGCTCAATGGTACTTTATGGCTCAACGGTACTTTGTGGCTCAACAGCACTTTGTGGCTCAACAGCACTTTGTGGCTCAACAGTACTTTGTGGCTCAACAGCACTTTGTGGCTCTGTACAACTTCGTAAATTAAGATTAGTTTGCTGCATATAAACAGTTTGTAAATAATTCAAAAACTTCTACTCCATCAACAATTCACCTCAGAAAAAACAAATTATGCCACCAGCTCCAGCCTTTATTCTACCAAGCCAACGAGTTGAACCTTATGGAGATATCGAGATACGAATCCAGGCTGCGATAGCCTTTCTTCAGAGCAGTGAAAACCAGTATCCAAATCTGGCAGCTATTGCCCGTCAGTACGAAATACCCGTTCGCCGTCTTCGAGCACGTTTACAAGGTCAACAATCACGTCAAGATCGACCGGGAACAAACCATAGGCTTTCACAAGATTAAGAGCTGGCTGTCTGCCAGTATCTGGACCGTTTGGATAGAGTTGGTACTAGCGCCCGCTTGCAAATAGTTACAAGCTGTGCAAATGCAATTCTCCAATATGCACATGAAGGTCCTGGGCCAGCTCCTGTTGTCAGTAGCCAATGGGCACCACGTTTCCTCGATCGTCATCCTGAGTACTTTATTCGGAAGCAACAAACAATTGATGCAGATCGCAAAAATGCGCATCAACCTGAGAACATCCGAACCTGGTATGAAAAATATCTTACGGTCTGTCAATCACACAATATTCAGCCAGCAGACCAGTACAACTTTGATGAAACCGGCTTTCGGATTGGTGTCGGGCGTGATCAATGGATCATTACACGTGATCCAAATAGGCAGGCCTACTTGGCTAGTTCTACAAATCGAGAACTTGTGACCGTTTGCGAAACGATCAGTGGTGATGGAGCTGTTTTGCCTCCAATGATTATTGTGCCAGGTGTTATTCACAAGGAGCCCTGGTATACTACTACCAGTATACCAGGGGATTACCTTGTTGGTACATCAGAAACTGGCTATACCAATGATGTGTTAACTTTGAACTGGCTTAACCATTTTGAACAATTTTCTTCAAAGCGGCAAGTAGGAAGCTACCGACTTTTACTCCTCGATGGGTTTGGTTCCCATTGCACAAAACCATTTCTCGACTATTGTGATGAGCATAAGATAATTGTTTTCTGCCTTCCTGCTCATTCTAGCCACCTTTTACAACCATTAGATGTGGTAGTATTTCAACCATATAAACATTATCATGCAGAGGCAGTGGAGGCGGCCACTCGGATGGGATGCGATGAGTTTGACAAATGCGAATTTCTCGACCAAATTGACTCGATCCGTCAACAAACATTTAAGGAGTCAACTATCAGATCCGCCTTCAAGGCTACAGGACTAATTCCTTATAATCCTGATGTAGTCCTTTCGAAACTTCGCGAGGCAGTTCCTGTTATTGATGAACCAGCAATGCCTCCGCGTGAATCTCTAACCAGTATTCCTACTACAATTCCTCATCTAAAGTCACGAGGTGATGATTTACTATTTGCTGCAAAAGATATGCCATCAGAGTTCCAACAGGAGCTCAAGCTTGTCCTACAAGGGGGACTTGCTCTTGCCCAATCCGGTGCCCTGGCAATGGAGCACTTGGAAAATACTCGGGCGGCAGAAGAAGCACGGAATACAAGACGCAGAGCACAAAGCCGGAGGCAGATACAAAGTGGAGGTGTATTGTATGCATCACAAGCACGCCAAATGGCAAAGAAAAGAGAAGATGCAGAGGTAGAAAAAGCTGAAAAGCAATTGCGGAGGGCACAAAGTGCCCAAAAAAGAGTGCAGCGAGCTCAACGTAAACCATTTCTTGATGAGATAAAGGCAAAGGGAAAAGAAAGACGTGCAGCTCAAGCCTATAAAAAAAAAGTATCTAGGTTAATAGTAATGGGAATTAAGCAACAAGCAAGGTTGCGGAAATTGATGTAAAATCAAATATTGTATTCTTTAAACTTTAAAGTTTATAATCTGATACTAGTGGTTTAGTGATAGGCTTGTGTATAAGGTTCAAGTTGTATTAGACTGGGAAGTTGTATTGGTATATTAAAAGGTTATCTTAATATACATAATTGTGCAGAGCCACAAAGTGCATTGAGCCACAAAGTGCTGTTGAGCCACAAAGTACCGTTGAGCCATAAAGTACCATTGAGCTGTCAGGCACTCTTTAGAGTGCCCCCGGTTGTGAGCTTGCGAACGTGCGGGGGTTGTGGCGGCCAGCCACAACCTTGGCACGAGTATGTAAAGGCCCTTTGACACGGATAGGGATTTACAGTGGTTTCGTGAGTGAGGGCGTTTTGGGATTGGTCTTTTTTTTTTTGAAACGGTCTGGGATAGGGAGGCTGGCAAGAGAGCCCACCGGACGGAACAAGATTCGAGGTGGGGCGGTTTTTCGGTGGGGATATCAGCCCAAAGGTCCGAGACGTTTTTTTCCTGGTCGGATCTGCTGGGACGCAGGTGGAATGCTGACTTCTACTGAAGGGTGCTGGAGACTGTGGGCTGCTGGCTGTTTGCTCCTTGCTTGCCAGGAGTGAGTGGTAGAGGTGTGCTTGCGTGTTTGTGCGGAGGACGCGTTTTGGATCTTCCAAACTTCTTTCTTCATCCTCTCCTCTCTGCCCCTGTCTGAGCCCGGTCTTGGATTGGTGGAAATCTTTGAATCATGTAACAGGCCTTCTCACATGGTCGGGAGGACCCAGCGAGGTTTTCTTATCATGCCGCTTGGCTTCCACAAGGATTCACTCACTCGTTAACGTTCACAAATATGAATTTAGGCATGGCTAAGGCTACCAGAATATTCTGAGAACATATGATTGGACGTGTCGTCTTCTCGGTCGTTCACCCGAATCCCCAGTAGGGCCGGATGGACAAGTGAACCACAGTGTGTCCTCACCACTATTGCCATTTGCTATAACTACCTTAGTTCTGGCCTGGAGCACTGTCGGCGTCCGTTGTTGTGCCGTGGTTGTTAGACTGGCCCCCAATCACTTTTTGCTGTAGCATACTGTGAGAGGCGTGTAAAATGGAGAGAGGGGGGGGGGAAGGCCCTCAGGCTTGTTGAGATATACCATCCTAGACATGGAGCCATAGTCATGCTTTAGGGCAGCCAGCCTCTCAACCACACACCCATTGCTTCTACCTCAAACAGGAGTTTCTTAGGTCATGAGAAAACAGGGAAGGCCCAACGAGCTAGAGCACTCACTTCCCACCCTCAGACACGAGGGCACGAAAAGCAGTCCCGGCCCAAACTCCCAACCAGCGGAAGAGGAGAAAACACAACCACCTTCGCCCCAAACCAAACAACAACACCCTTACCAACTCAACCGACCGGGAGGGAGAAAAAAATGGAAGCTTCCTCCAGCTCGCGCAAGCCCATCGCGCGCTGGGATAGCGCCGGAGACCGCCTCCTCATCACGGAACTACTGCACCATATCCGCAAAGGCGAAAGGATCAACAACAAATTTTCACCCGAAGTCTGGGCCCAGATCGCCGCCCAGGTCAACAAGCCGTCCATTGGCACGGGCATTCGGCCATTGACTCTTGCTCAAGTCAAAAACCGCTACTTTGTTGTATGTTCCCCTCCTCCCTTCCTCCCTTTTGGGCTGATGACGTGGCGGGGTGCTGGTGTGCTGATTTGCTCTTTAGATGAAGAAGGGCTGGAAGGATTTTACTGCTCTGTTGAAAAACGATGGCTTTCATTGGGATCGGGAGAGGGGAAGGGTTGATGCTGAGAAAGAGGTTTGGGCCAAGTATATTAGGGTTTGTGGAATCCCCCCAGCTGTGCTTGTGAAGGGGGCTTCTGGGCTAATAGGAGGGTGTTGTGATGATGTTGGCTGCCTCTAGGTTCATCCGAAGGCTAGAGTTTTTAAGCAGAAGCCATTGGAGAATTATGAGGATTTGTGCGAAATTTTCGGTGATGCCGAGCAAACTACTAGTGTTAGGAGTTCCCGGCGCGGCAGGAGGGCAGGTGGGCAGGAATATGGAGAGGATGATGATGAAGAAGATGAGGGTGAAGAGGCAGAAGCAGAGGGGAATGGAGAAAGGGGTTCTTCTGCGGAGAAAACTCTAACTAACACCCTCACTTATCAAGATTCTCCAACTCCCGGTAACAGTCCCGCCCAAGAAAATGACAAGTAAGTGGCCACCCTCCCCACTGAAAAAAAAAAACTAAACACCGGCCAAGCACTTCAAACGCTACCACTACCATGACGCTGACACAACCCCCAGGAACCCCCCTACCCGCACCATCCAAAATCCCCGTTCCCAGGCCCCTCGCGGGACCCGGCGCTCGTGGTCCCCTTATTCAAGCTACCCCCGCGACTCCGCCAGCCCTGGATCCCTGGAAAACGACAGTTCCCACCCCGACAGCTATGAGCACCACAGAAGTGACTACCCCAGTCCTGCCGGCAGACGCTACAACACTGCCCACACTAGATACTACAGAAATGGCCATTCCAGCCCAGCCAGCAGACGCTACAACACGGGCTACTCTAGGTACTACGGAAACGACCGTCCTAGCCCCGCTTGTAGACGCTACAACACCGGCTACTCTAGGCACAACAGGGATGACTATTACAGTCCCGCAATCAGGGGCTACAATCCCGTCGGTTCCGGGCACCACAGAGATGGCCGTGCCAGCCCTGCCGGTAGGCCCTACAACCCCGCCGGTTCTGTGTACCACAGGAATGACTATTCCAGCCCCGCCGCCAGGCGCCACGGCCCTAGGGACTTTAATGGAGCTGCTGATATCTTCGCCAGTGGAATGGACAGACTGATTACCACCATCAGGTCCCATCAGGAGAAGAAAGCGCAGAAGAAAAATCCAAAGCTCCCAACCCAGTACGTGCCGTACGCAGGTGCAGTAGGCAAGGCTGTAAAGCTTTACCACAACGGGGATATCTCTAAAAAGAACTTTCGTCTTGCTATCAGCTTTTTGAAACATGATCCATTGGAGTGTATAGCTTTCTGGTTCATGTCGGATGACCTCTGTATTGAGTGGGTTAAGGAGAGGGTCAAGGAGAGTGAGGAATGCACTGACGATGCTGAGGTCTGATTGTAGCGAGGATCGTTGATTTACCAAGTCTCTGTTACTCATCTGTTTCCATATCTTCTTCTGTGCGTTATTCTGTGTGGCTTGGGAAATGTATAATAGTTTTTTAGATGGTCAATTTTTGTGACCAAGATGCTATTCTGGGTTGGTTGGGCTTGTGTGTGCTGGCTTTTGTAGCGCCAACCTATCGGCCTAGCAATAAACCACCATATTACCCGATCACCTCGCTCCGAACTTAAATCACCAACGCTCACTCGAACAGTAAAACTGGATCAGCAGCCAGTTGAGTTTCACTATGCCGTTTGGTCAGCCCCCCCCCCCCCGAAGGCTATTATATTACGATAGATGCTGTTTAATTGCTATTATTTGTCCGCAAGTCGGTGTACTCTACAAACTCCCTTTTTTCCTCTCTCTCTTCGCTCGGCTTGCCATCTTGACGATTCCGGTTCGGCTGTGCCTGGGAACGAGCGATGTGATCTCGCCGCTTGGGAGCGGTGGCCATATTCACGACCCCCGTTTTTCCGGTCGGCTCCCGCACACTCCTGTGATTCTGTAGCACTGGGGTTTCCGGTTAGGACGGGGTGGGGAGGTTGGTCAGATCTTGGTGGAACATAGCCAGTCGCTATGGGAACCGGCAGAGACCAGCTAGAATACGGATCTACCGTACTAGAGGGAGTGGGTAGTAGCCAGCTATTGAGATCTATTACATACATCACGGCTTGCCGGGAGAAAAAAAGGGTATCGCTGCGCCGGGGGAGCTCTCAACCTTCGCCATCCTTCCCTACCGTCCCATTGCTGTTTGTGCGGTTCACTAGTATTATATCATAGTCCCCGTTGATTCCGGAATCATGCCGTGTGCCATGCATTCTTACGTGAATAGCGATACTTGTAACGTCGGAATGGACGATTTTCTAACCAACTTTACCGTCCATAAGTGCCTCCCCTTGTTGGATAAAGGGGTAGTAGACAAATATGATATCATACCATAAAGGGAAGACTAGATTCTGACCTTTTTTTATTTTTTATTTTTTTACCGCGAACGGCAAATCCCGACGGTTCCCAGAGATGAGATTCGATTTATCGCGGTGTTATGGGTCTTGCACTAGAATATCGTAGGGTAAGACTCGCCTTGTATGATGATAATATTTACACCCCTGGAAAAAAATGGGAAAGGAAAAGGATAATAATTCGAGTGATCCTTTAGTGGTGAGGGGTTGGAATGGCAATACACACCAAGGATACAGTACAGTACAGTAAACCCTCCCATCATTCCAGTCTGGTGCAGGAACAGATTTGGTGCTATGAGAATTCCCTCCGCATCTTCGAACCCTCCTCTGATATAGTTCCTACTTCCTAAGAAACTGATTGGTATTGACTCCAGATGTTACAGTTTAGGGATGAGGGGTTATGAGGCTGGACATGAGGTTAACGTTGTTCTTAGTCGGGAAAAAAGAAAAAAAAAGAAAAAAAAGAAAACAAATGTACCGCAAACTCTGCTCCCAATCTTACCCTCTTTAAATTCTAACATGATAGCAGACATATGAACCTCTCCTTTACCCAACTCTGCGGAATCCTAATATATGGCCCAATCTGCCCGACACCTCTCCCATTTCCAACCCTCCGCTAGTGACAGGTCTTCCGATCCACGGTTCTCCCGGAATTATGGGAGGGGTAGCAATCTACAACCTGAGAGTTACTTTTCTAGAAGTATGCTAGTTTCCCGTGCGGCTCCTGAATAAGAAATTTCCCCTTCTCGGGAGGGAGGGGAGAATTCCTATCAAGGCCATAACCACCTCTTCCAGTCAAGTGCTGCCATTTTTCTATAAATGTCCGGGGGTTTCTCCTTATCCCTGTGGCCATCCCCCCCGCAGCGCTGGTAATAAATACCATAGATGTATCCTCCCTTTCCTCCCAATGTTACGAGTACTACTAGTACAGTGCATCTCACAATGGTTTCACGGAACATGGGTGGATAATTGGTTTATCCCGAAAGAGCGGTTTCCACTCTAATCTGTTCATCACATCGTTTTACGTAAGATTTATGTTCTCGAACGTAGTCCATGTTCTATTGAGGCGTTGTGCCTAATGTAGCTAGGGACAGTGCTCTCAGTGGGGACAGTCCGCCCCCCGCCCGGTCCTGGCGCTCTAGCTGGCTGAAGGATCACCTGGGAGCCGTGTCCGGGAAATCCACGGGACTTTTGTGTCCCCGGCCCAGCGGCCACAGTGAAAATTTTTCACCATCTTTCGTGAGTATAATTGTTCGTTCGCCAGTAATCGCTCATAAGACCCAACGCATCCCGGATTCCACCTTCGTGTGATTCCTTCTGTGAAAAGATGGTACTGTACCGTGCGCAACCTGACTTTCGACCTTCCATTCGCTAACACATGTGTGCATAGTACAGTATATAGCTCCTAAGAGAAAATGTGCAATCCGCAACCACCATGTGTAGTTGTACAGTACGTATTATAGTCCCGGCACCCGCACTCGGACTGCAAAATGTCTCACTCATCGGGCGGGAGTCCGCCGGAACCGGACGGGCTCTCGGTCCAGTCCGGCATTCCGAATCACTCCCCTCTCTCCCCGTGTATCCCCGCTCCCCAGCTTCCCCGGACCGTTGCGAAGACCTGCTATACCGTGGGGCGTGGCATTTCACCCCGTCACCTTCTTACCATACTCCAAGTTCTCCAAACCTTACTTACCACCAACTCTTGGAGAGCGGAATTATCCCCCCCCGGTTTACACAAGGAATGGGAAAAAATCTCTTTTGTACTCCGCACACATTGATTCACCCCCCCCCCCCTTCTCCCCTCGCCGGTGCAAAAGCTCACCCCGAAATCCCCGGAGCGCACCCCGAAAAGAACCTCCCCACCAAGCCGGCCCTGCCCGCAATTACCGGTCACAAGACCGGGGAGGTCCCCCCGCACCTTACTATACGTACCGGAAGCGCCAAAGGGACTCGCTGTGCGACCCGCGGCCCCGCACCCACTCCACCCCACCACATCTTTGGACTAGAACGGACTACGATATGGTATGATATGATACAAATCACACTCCCCCTTCTCCACGATACCAAATGGAAAATCCACAAAAATTTTCGAATGCCACTTCCTCGAACACTGTACTGCACTGTACTATGATATACGCTTCTACTTCCGCTTAGTCAACATGGATATCTACGCTTATAACATAATACCAACCCACCACGCACCGCAGTAGATACCCCAACATAGACTATGGAGAGTCATGGCCTAGGTGATGATTAGTGGTCCCCCGGTGTGTATTGTGCATAAGAGTCGGAAATCATGAACCTTGCACCCCCATCAAGAATTGTGGCAATAGTTTTCCGACCCTACCTACACACCAGCTCACCCCGGTGTGCCCATAGGAATCGGAAAACACAACCCTTGCCTCAATATTATGGACTTGTATGGGATCAGCAGACACCGTCTTCCGATTTTACCTGCCATGCCCGGGTATGATATATGAAAATCTATTTTCCCCTGTCCTTCTGAGGCATCAGGCTATTCTATGCAGGTCCCCAAGCAAGGGCGATCACCCAATTTTCTAATTTGAACCGTATACTGTACGTCAAGATAGAGCATCTCCAGAAATAATTATACAGTGCAACACTTGCGCCCAATCTCCTCAAAACCGAACCCGAAAAAATACCCATGCCGCTTCCTTCCAGTGACCATAGGGCAATCCCTGCATCATTTGGAGTGGGGTAGCGCCCAATCCAATCGCAATAGTCCACTCACATCCACCTATTCACTCAAATAAACCCGACAAACTAAAACAGAAAAATATCTGCGTGCTTGAAATTTTGGCTTCCATCATCAGAATCTGATGCAAGGTGTGCGTCGAGAATTCACAATTAGAGTGGATCCCACCAACGCCCAGACCACAGTCAAAAAAAAAGCAAGAAGAAGAAGAAGAAAAAAAAGGGAAGTCTATATCCCTAGAAGGCATTCCCCCCAACCACTCTACCCTTGCTGCCCCTTGATATCTCCAGAGACTCGAAAACCCCTCTTAGACCACCATACTAGCGGCAAGCGCAAGTACTGCTCCGATGACGGCGATAACAGCACTGCCCGTAATAGAGGCTGCTGCGTTAGGCTGTCCACCTGTGCCCGAGGTTGGAGAAGAGGTGGCTATCCCAGAGGCCGTTGGTGTGGGGACACCCGAAGTAAATGGAACATCAGATGATCCGGTAGCCGAAGGGAAAGCGGGTGCCTGGGTCGAAGCACCAGTATCCGGCTCGTCATCAGTGGCATTGGGGTTCAAGACACTACAAACATTAGTTTCCCATATTCAGAAAAATCTTGACCCGACAACTATACCCATCAATGATATGGATGACGCCATTATTGGTGATAATATTTGTAGTGATCACCTTTGCCCCATTAACATACACGTCGCCGTTGCTAGTGCGGACCGTTATCTCCCCTCCTTGAGCTGTCTCCAACTTCTGGTTGTTGGTGAGATCCACAGTGAAGGCTCTGACAGGAACGACGTGGTAGCTGGACACAACCCTCGAGTTAACCGGGAGACAAGGAGGTTCAAAGAAGAGGCCCTACTTTAAGATACTGGCCAATTCCTCAGGGCTAAGACGTCCCACCAGATTTCCAATCGCCTGGAACGCACCATTGCTAGGGGCAAAGATGGTGATCCCCGAAAGTGCATTAACCGTGTGAGCGAGATTGGAAGTAACCAATGCACCAGCTACTGCGGTGAGATTTGAGGATATAGCAGTGGTAGAAACATTCGCGGGAAGCACAAGAGCACTGTCAATAATATGAACAAGGCCACCATTGAAATTCATATCCTAAAATGAAAAATATAAGTAGAGTGTATTGGCCAAAAGACACCAAAATTGAGACTGTTTTTTTTTCGGCAAGGGTACTGAAAGCCACCCACTCTTGACACTACCAGACGCAATCACTTGGTAGTAACAGGGACACGGGAGAAGTGGTGGTGTTTAGGGGGAAAGTTAAAACAAAGGAGGAAATAAGCTAGAAAAAAAAAAGAAAAGGACTCACGGCTCTAGAAACCATGGCAGGCCTGTCGAGGCCGGAATATACGGTGCCATGATCGCCCATCCGAGCCGCCTTGACCACTTGTTTCTCACCAACAGTAAGGTTGACGAAGTGAGGGTGAGTCAATAGAGTTGGCCAAAACTTGGGCTCATCGCCAAAGTCTCCTGATCTATACGTTCCATTGAGGACATGATAGTCCAAGAGAGCCCTGACATGATCGGCGTGGTCCGTGATGTAAGCAGGCACAGCCTTCAGGGCCTGGTTATTGGGGGCAAGAATAGTGATATTCGAAGCACCAGAGAGAGTAGCAATGAAACCGGGATCCGTCAAGGCGAGGGAGGTAAAATTGCTAAGCTCAGGCACACCCGAGAGGAGCTCATTGATGGACTGCGCAATGCAGCCGGCAGCCAGTGTGAAAAGAAGAGTAAGGGAGGTGAGGCAAGGCATGTTTACCACAGAAAGAGTCAGGTTATGGAAGCTGGGCAAGATTCTGTGGAAGAAGGGGTAGGTGATCTCGAAAAGACTAGTTGTTGAGTGTGTATTGGTTAACTAGAGAGGGGCGATTATGGCAGGGAAAGGAGAGGAGGGGAAGATTTAAGTGGAAAGTGTGGCACAGCGGCGGGGACTACATATGACGAGGCCAACGCTCCGGGGGCTACAAGTCGTCCACGGGGAGAGGTACGCATGAACAACGGCCCTCCGGACAGAGGGCCGCGAACATGTTACCAGCAATCCCGCAGTGGACATCGGTCACCAGAAAGGTGGAAAGATTCTAATGCCAAGATGCCCCTTTGACTAGAAATATTTCTGGAAATGATTGATGGTGAGGAACGAGAAGTATACAGCGCCCAGCGCAGGCCGTCCAGTATGGCGGAAGCTCCCCGCTCACCCATTCCAGGAGCCACGATACTGCACCTAAGACAGCTGCAGTAACAGTTAGCTCAATGGCCCGCTGCGCGATATCCTAAAAATTTCCTACGCCAACCCACCCATCCGGACAGATCCTTTCCCGGGATATCAGCAGTGCTACGACTAACAATCTAGATGACTTGTGACCAGCGGGGGCGGTTGCTAGAGTGATGAAACCGCCGTGGTTTTCCGGTACAAGGGAATTGGGAGCCTGACCATACCCAGAGCTTGCTGGTGCTCCTGTTGACGCCGCAGTAGCCCAGGCTCAAGGCCCCCTAATGGGGTCAGTGGACGGAAGCCATCTCCCCACACCGAGTGCTCGAGCATGCAAATTAGCGGCTTGTAGGATGCCTTTACCCCCAATTCGCTATTACTGTACGGTATGGTAGGTGCTGGATCGAAGCCCATTCGGATATTGCGCTAGAACACAACTAGCGCTTCCCCTGCATTCCCATGATCGACACCAGCATTTTACCACACCTTTCCGGGGAGCAACACTTGGCAACAGATCCCCTACTTGCCTATATTCGGGTCCCTAAACCCGTCCTCCGTATCAGACCCTAGCATCAGAGACTCTTCTCGTATGATGTAATATGATAGTAGAAGCCCGTACTGTAGTGCCCTTATCCACCAACCCCTCTCCAGGACGCCGGAGCTTCAGTCCGACGAGCATGGCAATTAATAAGCACTTGCAGAAAGGAGTCCGTATGACAATTCCCTTATTTCGGAGATATATTAGGACCTGTTTGGCACGCCGTAAAAACCACCTCCCTCGGTTTTGCTCATCTTGTAGGTCCCCTAACTTGATGGCTTTCCTGCTTTCTATCCCAACGGCCAATAGGGTGGCAGCCAAGTTATATAGGCACGGTTCTTTTATCCCCTCTAGCTACCGTAAAGGAACTGGAGCCTTGGCCAAATTTGGATTTTTCAAGAATAACGCCGCTTCTCACCTTCTTGCAGCATGCCAAACCGGGCCTCAACCATACATCAAGGCAGCACATCGAGTTCACCCCTATCCCCCATATTCCAGACAATCCATTGGTGCCTGGAAGGTCTTCCGTATCACGAGCAGTGCCTTGACTTGGATGGGAACAAGTCAAGATGGCATTTCAAATGAGGCAAAGCACAATCCAACATAAGCCACACTAAGGTAGGGTCAAAGCATATTCTATTCCGGTAGCTTCACTCACATTCGAGCATCGCTGATCACTCGAATTCCAACCCATTCGGAACCGCCGAAATACCACGCACTGAGCGAGCTCAGAGGCGGCTGTAGTAGCACACAGCCGTATCTTTGCTGGGCAGCAAGGGGCAATCACACATAGGAAAGAAAGAGTCCCCGATCCCGACCCCCACCCTTAGTAAAAGAGGAGCTCGATAGCCTACCGAATCTCCCCGCTCCACCTACTGGTACTACCGCACTCAAGAGAACGGCCACTAGTCATGCCAGAAGTGTGCCACGAGATCCGATTGCGCATCCCGGGCATCTAAGCAAACAAACCCTTAAACACAGCGGATAACCGAGAGTCATTTCTCCACTCCCCCGCTGCCCCCTCCGCTCTCCAGAAACCCCTCTAATTCGGAGCCTCCAGACCGAGCAACCCCCGACACCCTCTCTGAGCATTTCCAGACTATGATACAAGCCCGAGTAGTCTCTCCTCCTCTGACATCCATGCCCCTCCTAACCCAGTCGACAGAAACCCAAACAGTGTGCCGAGCCCGAAACATGAAAGGCAATCATCGCCTGAGCTTGCCCCACGGCCCAGGATCCTGCTTCAGTCCATCCGGATAATTGGCCAAACCAAACGTCTATCGTCTGTAGTTGAGATTCTGCGGTGGATTACCCTAGAACAAAAAATGCATACACCAGGCGAACCTTGAGTTTGTTGTGCTTATTATACATCGTACTTCATGGTCTGGTATCGGTACCGCCGCAGCGCTAGCACCCATGCGCATGTATCGTGCAACTTGTCTCGCTAGCACTCACGCTCGAAAAGATTGGCTAGGTTCCCTACCGGCGTTTATGGAAGTTGGAATTCACAAATTTTCGATTTATCCTACGAGCAGGTTAGCACTCAGATATGATTGGACTATGGTCTAGAAATACCACCCCGAGATATCCCCAACGCCCAAGCACGGTTCCCGGATTTCACCACCTGAACCCGAGAGTTTACAAATAAGTCATGCAAATAGGCAACCGTATTCCTGTTTGAGCTCCCTCAAAAAGATTCATGTCCTAAATTCATAGGTTAGGGCCAAAAATCACCCCTCTTGGCCCCCAGCACGAGCTTGAAGCTAATGAAAGTTAGAGCAAGTATGATATCCCCAATGGCGGTACCGTAGTCGCAATCCCCCCCCCCTTCGGAGGTGCCGGGGGTCCAAACCATGTCCACCTTTCAGCCAACGCCGCCACTTCCAACCAGTGCCATTCGTTCCCAAGATCCGGGAAAAGTTGAGGAGGTGGAAAAGTCGGGGGGCAACCATAATGTACGGCACGAGTACAAGTACGTGAGAACCGGCAGACACTTATACGTTGGAATAAGAAGCGGTTGGGACGAAACTTATAATTGCGTCAAAAATCAGGGCCTGAAAGGTCCAGTCCTAGATATACAGAGTTAAGATCTAGCGCTCTACTGCGATCCCGAGACAAAGCAAGAGTAAAAATCATATTCGAGTGTAAGTTACTAGCCCCCGACCGTCTCTCGCCAGATAATGCGGTACCCACACGTATCCTACGCGTGCTCTGCTAATCAAGCAGAAAGAACTTCCGATATTATACCTCCACTGAGCCAACCCAGCCACTACCTCCCAAACACGAACGCAGAAATCGCAAATACCGACCCAAGAACCCTAGCTGTGATAAAGAACCACCCCTCTGAAATCCCCATCTCCCGGCCTTCCGTTCGTGGCCCAGAGCCCCTCCGTCACAAATCTGGTCTCGTCCCACTCCTTGCAATCCTCCATGATGCGCTCCACGTGTTTCCCAACCTCGGTGCATGGCATCTGGTATCCGCGCTCACCACAAATCCCGATCCCGGCACTCCCCCACCTGAGGAGTGACGTACACTGCGAGAGACCCGATTGAACGCATGGTTTGTCGCCCAACGCGTTGATCACTATTGAAGCGGCCCCTCGAGCCTGGTAGTAATAAGGTGACTCGGGGGTGGTGGAGCAATACGTATTGCTCGATGTTTCCCTCGAGGAACGAAGAGGAACTTGTTGAGGGAGGGCGGATAGCGAAGGAATGACCAGAAGAATCGGCAGTAAGAATCTCATGGCTGTAGGAAGAAGTACGGTAAGGTTCTCCCGGATTGTATGGGGACGAGCATCAATTAATACAATCTTACAAGCCGCTGTGCTACCACACCATAGTCCCAACGCCGAGGTATCACGAACCAGTGACGTACCGGTAAGCCAGGGACTGGAATAGAAGTAGAGCTTTTTCGGGGAATTTCTCCCTCCTGTCGCGTCCAGAAGCTCGCGGTTGGAATTTTCAGCATAATCCACCATCGGAGATCTCGACGGAAACGAGTACTGTAGGTTTACAAAATGGTCTGGCGAAGTCTCGCTCACTCGGGAAAACTACTGTGTGTGTACCGTACTGTACTTTACTTGAAACGCTTTCTTCCGCCTTCTCCCACCTTTTCTGGGGCAAATACCACCATATGAGCGGTTGATAAGGCCCTGGAGCCAATGACAGGAGGTTCGACAGACTTACCGGTACCCAACAACCCCCGATACCCTGTCTGGAAAACACTATTCCTTCTCGGGGTGTTTTGTCTCGGATCAGGGAGATCCGAGGCAGATCGGCAATGGTAGCTGCATGGATTCCAACATGATACGGGGATTTCAAACAATTGGATCAGCAACATCGAAAATCCCATAATCCGGGTCGGAACCAAGATCTACGGGATCTGGGCGGGGTCCCACCGCCAGCTCTGGTGGGGCTATGATATCTATGGGCCGGACCTCCTGCGTGGTCCATCAACCAAGCCCTTCGATCCTCACCACCACAGTTGGAACATTGGCCATTTCGTGATTCGTTGGTAAGACCCCCACTATCGGTGCCTAGTAGAGGCCCACCCTTCACTTGGGAAGAAAAAACAACTCCCAAACCGAGCGAGATGCCTGCATACGGTGTGGCAGGGGAAAAAAAACTCTTTTGCCGATCCCATTGTAGCACTGCCAAGCTACAGTGCCCTTGGATTAAATCAAACTCGGTGCCCGGGCGTCGTCGACCCTGTGACACCAGTACCGGACCCTACGTATCGTACCCTCCGACGGAGACGTCCTGCCCATAGCCGGCATTAAGTATGATACACTGTAACGTTACCTCAACACACAGGGGTCATGGATTTCTAACAGTACGGGGCGCTCAGGAAGGTACACACGGATTTGATTTGATTTTTTTTTTCGATTTTTTGATTTTTCCTTCCCACCACACAAAATATCGTATATACTGCGAATCCCTATCTCGGGTAGTGGTTTCAAGGCACTTCTTGCCCACCTACCTGCCCTCCAAAGGGAAATCAAGGTTTTTCCAAAAAAAAAAAATGAAAGTGGTAGAAGTGCTTGCTTGACTTTCTCCGTTGAATGCATGATAGTGTAGGCTGTCATACAACGGCATATAGATAGACATGCCCCCCCCCCTCCGACGGCAATTGTGTTACCTATATTGAAGGTTGGATCGCAACATCCAACTGGTCAATATGGAGCGGGGCACCTGGCACCGGGGAGTGAGTGATATTGTGTGATTTCAATTATCATCTCGCATTTTTACCGTATCATTCCTAAGCCGCACCGACGCTTACTTGGCTAGCTAGCAACACCATACAAAAAGTACTGTACCAGTACAGGTTCTTGCCACCCGTCGTACCATATTCCATGTTTTTTTTTTTTGGTTTTCTCAACTCAAATCTACCTAGTTAAAATACCTGCAAGTCTCATATTACGATATATATCACTACATTCCCCCTCCCATAGAATCCCCGGTCCACCATTCACCGTGTCAGTTAGGGCCTTATCCATATCCCATGATATCACACGACAAAGAGAACAACAGCTCCCAGAACCCACCTCACCACATTCACCCGCGCAGTACGATATCGCAATACAGCATTACAACAATCACCACATATAAGTCCTTCCACCACCCAACACGAACCTCACCACATACACACTCAGCAAAACAATCAAAAACCAGACACGGGATTGGTACTGTACGTATCATATCAAATCGAAGATTTTCAAGAAACTCTCAACAACAAAGACAAAATAAACCAAAAATCCACCACGGGAGTATATATATATATATATCATACCCATTCTCCCAGCCCGTCCCATCTCAACCTCACACCTGATATAGTATATACATGTACAGTACATACCCCATCCACCGCCAACCCGGAAAAGGCGGGAACCCTTCCTGATAGGGTATTATTAGGCGTCGGCGTGGGACGGAACCTAGGTTGTAGCTTACACCTGAATGAGTGAGTGAGTGAGCAGGTCACAAACAGCAAGTCCTTTATCGAACCCAGCTATGACACGTATAGCACGATACAATACAAGTACCACATTTCCGATACCGGCACAGTACAATAATAACCCACGCAGGAAGAGCGCATAGCATTCAAGCACGGGGAAGGAAACTGCATATCATAAGTAAATTTGACAAAGCTTTATACTCTCTTCCTCCGAGCACATACCACAACACAGCAAGGCAATACAACCCTCCCACCCACCCACCCTCAAACAAACAAACAAAAAAAGTACCCAAATTTGTTATGATTTGCTGTGCACATACACACACTCTCCCTCTCTCGCGCGCTCCTGTCGGCACAATTGTTCCATTTCATGGCAGGGGTAATCACAGACGGACAAGGGTTCCCGTCGTGATGAGTGTAGTATTCGATCCAATAAACTTGAATGGGTTGGATCCGCCGCTATATACGTACCACGTCGGAACGGATGGGGGTTTTCGGGATTACGGAGATGTGCGGAGGAGACTTGTGGGTGTTGTCCTGTTGTATTTGTACTGTGCAAATCTGTGCTATTCGCGATCGCAAGGAGGGATTGGTCCGCTCTATAATCCCGCCGCAGGAGTCTCCTGCGATATGGTGTTTTGATCGATGAGTTGGCGAAATGGTTGTGGAAGACGTTCGTGTGTGCTCGGGTTTCACGGATGCAACTAACTTGGAGTTGTGCTCGTGCGTCTAGAGTGATAAATGCCATGTCGGCTTATTACTTTTGAAACATGGAGGAAAAAAAGAAAATAGGCCATCAAGCCGGAGCTAAAACTATGGATGATAGCCGCGATAAAGAGACAGAACGATACTCGAGCATGGTGTGATGATATCATCCAAAAAAAGAGCTCAGCATACACCACATCCCCCTCACCGCCCCAAGTTCCCAACATGCCTATCGAAAACCCCATTTCGCCACCCCCCAACCGCCTCCTCATCCACAATCTCCCCCGCCCTCTCCCCCTCTTCCTCCCAGAGATGGACAAGGCTGCCTGGGGTCCTCCTCCCCCGGAAAACCTTCCTCTCACCCCTCCCCGGCAACAATCCAACGCCAACCTCAACATCGGGATCCGGCGCTGGGCGCAATCTAGCCATAACCGCCCTAACAAACGTCGCCAGGTCCCTCGGCCGGGCAATCCTCGTAGCCCTCAACCTCTCCCTGGCAAACAATATCTCCCGATCCGCAAACTCGAGCGCAGCTTTAACGTTCTCCGCGATCGCACGCTCAAGCGCCCTCCGCACGAGGCACTTTATGAGGGGCTTGAAGAGCCAGGACAGAAAGGAGAACCGTGATTGTCGGAGGGTGTAGTTCAAGTTGTGTATTCGGACGCGCACGTCACGGAGCGAGAGGATTTCAGATATGCGGTCTCTGGCGATTTCCACGTCGAGGTGGAGGTCCATCCCTCGTTTGTCGATTGAGAAGCTGGCTAGGCCTGTGTCTGTGAACCCCGGTATGATCAGGCCGTGGTTTGCGCAGAGCCAGTATCCTACGTCCTCCGCACGGAGAGCTACCCCGTCGAGCTTTATCGTCGCGAAGGAGGTCACTGACGAACAGACTCTATGATGACCCTTACGGATTTCCAGGGCGTTTTGGGTCTCCACGCGCATGCGGAAAGGGAGGAAGGAGGTGTTGTTTACTGTCTCGCCCGGCTCTAGAATTAGGTTTTCCAGCAGGAGGTCTATGGATGGAGTTGAGACGGTTAGGCGGGGGATCGGGATGTATTGGATTGTTTGGATGGCGAGGGGGAAGAAGACGTTGTAGAAGTCGGCTACTAGCTCGGGGTTTGCGGGGGGGGATAGGGTGTTTATTATTGCGGTCGAGGTGCGGAGGAGGTTGGATATGTCCTTGTCGTTGAGGATTGAGGCGAGGACTCGTTGCGCCTGACCGAGGGCTTCGTCGACATCGCCTCGCAGTGTGCTTTCGGTGCCGGCTCTCCGGACTCTCTCGCGGATAGCGAAGAGCTTTTCATCAGCGGAGGTGACAAAGTCTGGGTCTGTGAGCAGTGCTTGAATAGAGTCCCCAACGTCCTCCATGACTTTTTCGAACTCGGCGTCTTTATGGACATGGCTTATCACTCTTCCCCATTTCATCTCGAGTTCGTCCCATTCCGTTTTGTCACCAAAAGACTTGACAAAGGCCCAGAAGGATTTGATAGCCACATCCAGCGCTGGGCCCGGCTCGGTATCCTCCACGGCCGTGGCAGTCGCAGCACCCAAAGCCCTCGAGTAAGTCCTTGCATGCCTCTTCAAAAGTGCCGACAAAAGCGATACAGACTGCGTATAATCCGTGTTCTGTCGAAGTCTCATAACCACCATCTTCATTCTCTCAACCAAGGCATCCTTCCTCCCGGCCTTATTCAATTCCCGGTCAGCGCTAGCAGCGGCTTGGGTAGCGGTCTCAGTGGCTCCTTCGGCAATGACCTCGGCAACCTCTTTTGCAGGAATCTCCGCAAAGTCCTCGTTCTCGGGTACTGGCGCCTTGGAATTAATCGCGGCAAGCTCCCCTTCGCTCGGTTCTACCGTCTCAGCTACCTTCTGTGCAACATGCGCAGACGTAGCAGCCGTATCAGCGAAAACCTGCCGGGTGATAGTGGTCAAGTCAGCCAGCAACTTCCGGAAGTCACTGTTCGCCAGGAGCAAGTCGAAAACGGTATGAAACGAGTCACAAGCTGCGATAGGCAAACCCAATTAATCTCCCTACCAAAAATCCAAACCCAATCATGAGGGAGGAAGGGAGACCCACCGACACCAACATCAGCACATCCCTTCGCGCTCCCGGCCCTCCGCATCATATTGCCAACATCAAGCGCAAACTGAGCTCTCGTAACACACCACAAAAACTCCTGAATCTGGTCCTCCGAATTCTTTTCCCTGAGGAATTCTATGAATTCTCCAATCAACCTCCGCACCTGCCTCACGAGCATGCGCCCGTCAGAGCTCAACTGGGAGTTTGCCGGGTGCAGCAAGTCGGCGGACAGGAGGGTCCTCAAGTGGACTATCAGCTGTTCAGTGCTGGGGTAGTAACCCTTATATAGGGCGCAGAGCATCTGGTACGTGCGCAGCTTCGCTGCTGCTTTGGACTGGAGGGTCGTCACGGCATCGTAGTCTGCCAGGAGGGGGCGCGTGTCGGGGTCGCGGTCGCGGGGGAGAGGAGAGCGGAACCAGAGCATTTTGACGGATTCATCGTGGGATCGGGGAGCCCTAGAGCAGACAGGAGGAATGGGTGAGGCCGGATTTTATCTCTGGTGTTGAGAGGAAAATGGTTGTTGACGTCGTTGCCAAAACACCAGTAAGCGTTGATGTGATGTCATTGTTGTGGCCAGGAGAGCCTCTGGCCCGGTTTCGACGGCGATCCCGTGCCGGGGTGGCAGTACGAGTAGCAGTGCGGGAGAGTATGATACGGGAACAATCCAGCAGGCAGTCGTAGCCCGCACGTCACCGTAAATTAAAAAACCACTGTGGAAACAAGAAGACTACTCGTATTTACTACTTGCACTTTAGAGCTTATGAACGAGCAGCATGAAATAGTCCACTCCCACAGCAGAATACCGGTATCATACCATGCTGTACAAGACAGTACATGATTACCAGTAATACCCACTGTCTACGCCTCAAGAGCAGCCCTCACGAAACCAACACCCAGAACCTGCGGTCACTGCCCAAAACCAAAGGGAGGAAAAGAAATCCCGTTTTCCCTTGATGTTTCCCTTCTCCCCCCGCCACCCCCCGCCAATCACAAACCTCCCTTAGTACACACTTCGCAGTCGAGTTCTACTACCGGTATACCGTCTGACCCGCAGCATGACCGCTTCACTTTCCCGACCATAGCCTTAGTCTACCAACCCAGTGGGTGCAAGTACTCGAGTAGGGGGGGGGGGGTCTCTTTCCAGATATCACTAACGACAAAAATAATCCTATGACACCCCAACTTACGTGATGGATCATTCAATACAACTCAACCCACTGACTGGGAAACCCCCGTGCTCATGTTGATCACCCCACTAGCCAAGTATAATATCCAACACAATATCACCCTGTGAACATATTGCAATCAATCTCCGAGAGTGCATTAGCGGTGTTCAACCCTGCCGTTGAAGAAGAATCGTTTCTCGAGTTCCACCCAAGTTCCGAGTCCAATCCATTCATTTACTAGTTTCGCAATGATATATCATGGAAAAAAAAAGGCGTTATCATACACAGAGCAAAGCTCTTCGACTCGGAAAAGTAAAAGAAGAAAGAAGACTTGAAACCTCTTTTTCAATCCCGGGATGAAATAAAATACCTTTATCGACGGATCGCGGCTGCTACTGTGTCATAGTATGATAACTTACTCGTAAAAGGGGGGCGCCTAAGCACTAAGCACTAAGCTCCCACAATATCATATACAAAAGTTATCCGATAAGTTCTACTACTACTACCGTACTACTGCTACTATCATAACAAAGTCTAACAATCCTCTGCTCCCCAGCTATTCCTTACCGGTTGCAGTACTGTATCCGTCCATCCATACACAACGAGCCCACCCCATCATACCAGAACGCCTAACCAACCCATCACAGGACAAATCCTCCACTCCAACAAATAATCCAAGCTTATGATACCGGTATATACAAGAAAGAGGTCCAAAGAAACAAGACCCACCTTACCAATAAATACCCTCTCCGAAATAAATAAATAAATAAACGCACTAGCTAGTGGGTAATGTGGACTACGAATCCGTCCCATCAACGAACGACTACAAAAAAACCGACAAATAAATTAACTTATTCGTGCCAAGGTTGTGACTAAGCGTTACAACCCCCAGTTGCTCGCTCACTCGCAACCTGGGGCACTCAGAGAGTGCCTGCCATCTCAACATGACTTGCCAGCTCAACATGACTTGTGGCTCAACTCAACTTTTTGTGGCTCAACACTGTGGCTCAAGATAAAATTGTGGCTTAAAATAATATCATTGGACCATACAATAAACAAATTTAATGTTCAAAACCTGAATATTTTAATTTACATTGATTTTCCCTGCCTTTACTTGCTTTTTAATTCCTACAACAATAAGTTTTGCTATCTTTTTTTTATAGGCTTGAATATTTCACCTTTTTTTCATATACTAGTACAATCTCATCTTATCCATAAGAGGCTTTTGCTTAGCATGCTCAAGCCTTTTCTTGGCATTCTGAGCCTGATGTAGTTGCTTCTCTGCCTTTTCCAACTCAGTATCTTCCCGATTTTTTACCATTTGACAAGCTTATGAGGCATAAAGAACACTTTCTTTTTAGATCTGCCTCCAGTTTTATGCCTTACACCTTACAGACCTTGCTTCTTCTACTACCTGAGTATACTTCATATGCTCCTTTGCTAAAGCTCCTAACTGGGCTTGAGCTAATCCTTCTTGTAACACTATTCTTAGCTTTTTCTAAAAAATTGGTGACAAATCGAAGTCTCTTGTATCCTGCTGCAACTCCTCACCCATTCGTTTCAGGCTATGGACTGTGAGAGGAACTGTAGGTGACAATCCTCGTAGTGGTATGACAGGAATATTTCTAGGCATAATAGTCTCTCGTAGCTTAGATATAACAACATTAGGATTGAAGAGAATAAGGCTAGTAGCCTTGAATATGGATCAGATTGTTGTTAGTTTAAATGTCAGTTGTTGGATATAGTCAATACTATCAAGAAATTTTATCTTATCAAACTCGCCACAGCCCGTATAGGTGGTGGCTTCAACAGCCTCAGCATGGTAATGCTTATAGACCTGGAATACAACAACATTGAGAGGTTGAAGAAGATGACTGGTATAAGGAGGTAGATAAAGGATAATAATCTTATGCTGATCGTAGTAATCAATAAATTCCTTGGTACAGTGCGATCCAAACCCATCAAGAAGCAAAAGACGATAGATACCAACTTTTCACTCTTGGGAAAAATGCTGAAAATTTTCTAACCATTTCATTGACAACTCATTATTACTGTATCCAGTTTCTGATATGCCAATGAGATAATTGTCAGGTATTGATATCGCTGTATACCAGGGTTCCTGATGAATGATACTAGGGATGATAACCAATAGAACTAGAACTACTCGATCTCTACTAATTGTTTTGCAAACAGAAACAAGTTCTCGGCTTGTTGAGCTTGCCAAATATGACTGTCTTGTGGGGTCTCTGGTAATAATCCACTGGTTACATCCAATTCCAATTCTGAAGCCAGTTTCATCGAAATTATAGCAATCACTAATTTCAATCTTATATCTTTCCCAAACAGCCTTATATCGTGCAAACCAATCTTGTATTTCATCAGGCTGATGAGTATTTTTCCTATCAGCATCAATCATACGTTGTTTTTGAATTGCATAATCAGGATAACAAGTCAGGAACTATTGCACCCAGTGTTCACCTACAACTGGTACAGGAAGTATACCTATGTATGCATTTTTCAGGACTGCATTTACATAACCTGAAAGCATTTGGAAACGGGCACTAGTTCTAATAGTATCCAATCGATCAAGATATTGACAAACAGTCAATTCGTGATCCTCAAAAAGATTTCGATTAGTGGCAAGTCTATTTTGCTTTGAGGAAATTCCTTGCCAATATACTCAAAGTAGTGAAACTGGAATCTCATACTGGTGTGCTGGGGCTGTAAGATTTGATTTCTTGTGTTCCAATCCCTCAAGAGATATAAGAGCAGCCCATATTCTGGTTTCAGTATCCTTGTATGGCTCAACCTACTGGCTGGGGAGCTTAATCATTGATGGAACTGGAGGTATAATTGGGAACGAATAGGTAAAATTGGAGATTACAAATAGAATATCAAATGAAACAAAGAGGAATTGAGTAGCTTGTAGATGGTTTTTAAAACATAACTGAAAAGAAAGTCTTTAAGTTATAACTACAGTACTTATACCTCATATTTGATATAAACAAATAGAAAATAGTATAATAGGAACCATAGACCTTAATATTATTGTTCTACTATAGAAGGTCATCGAAGTTCAATAGCTATATTCTCTTGATTAATAAAGAAATAAATACACTTAAATTGGATAGTAATATTTCATTGATCTATGAAGAAATATCGATGTTTAAGTTGAATAATAATATTCTATTGAGCTGCAAAGAAATAAATACATTTTAGTTGAATGGCAAGAATCCATTGAGCTCCATAAAAAACTATATTAAGTTGCAAAACTATAATGGTAGACAATACTATGTTGAGCCACAAAAAGTTGAGTTGAGCCACAAGCCATGTTGAGCTGACAAGTCATGTTGAGCTGGCAGGCACTCTCTAAGTGCTCCAAGTTGCAAGCAAGCAAGCAACCAGGGGTTGTGATACTTAGTCACAATCTTGACATGAGTAGCAAGTCTGGACAAGTGTTCAGTGCCTCGTACACACTTTCCTTCTCCTTCTTTCCTTCCTTCCTTCCTTCCTTCCTTCCTGCCTGATAGACTACGGCGACCATCCTCAGACTCTATAACAACCCTATAACCTAATTAAATCAAATCAAACAGCAAAGTTGCTAACCATCCATTTAAGAAATATAGTGAATCAAAGTACCGCAAACTCTTACCCAACTAAACTAGACTAATAAATATTATACAAGGTCCAGCGACAAGTCCTTCACCAAATTCTAATTCATATTTCCAGAAATGGAGGGTTCTAAGAATCCACATCTCACCAATGTACTGTAAATATATACTAGATCAGCAGCTCGTACCCTGCCTCCTATAAAGCCATTGAATTTAAAGTACTATATCCAATCGTTCTATACAATCGATAGTTACTGAGTGATACCTCAAAACCCCTTACTCCCACAAACCACCACCCCTTTACAACAATGCCTCCTCACAAAATCAGCCATCTCACAGATTATGAGAAAGGGCAAATTGTTGCTGTTAGAGGAGAAAAAAAAGCTCTTTTTCTGAAATTGAAAAGCTCTTACAGCATCGTAAGAGTACTATTGCTAATTTTTACAACTGTTACCAGATAAGGAGTAATAAGAAAAACCTTCCAACACTAGACAGAACCAAAATTATTGATACCAGAACCTGCTGCTGTCTTGTCAGAGAGTCCAAAAAGGCCTGCCGCCACATCAGCAAAAATTCATTCTGCGTCAGATCCGCGCGTCTCACATCCCGACACAGCGCGCTCGTCCCCTGCGTCCCCTGCATCCCCTGCGTCC